CACCAAATCTCAGAGAGACTGTTTCTTTGCTGTTCACCACTTTGCCACCTTCCTGGAATTTTGAGGTTTTCAATAGGATGACCTAGACCTGATATCAGCCTGAGGCATGAGATCCCAGCAACATCTCTCAGGACCTGTATGTAGAAATTCTCATGGGTTTCCTCACAAGTTAGACAGTATAAAAGGACACAGATGCCAAGAAGAGTTTTCTTTTCTTTTTTTTTTTTTTTTTGGTACTGGGGATATGAACTCAGGACCTTGCATTTTTGAGGTGGGTGTTGGCACCACTGAGCTAAATCCCCAGCCAAGAAGGGTGTTCTATTGTGACTTTCCACAATAGCTCTCCCTGTATCCTCCAGGGTGTACCTTTTCTCTTCTTTAGCCCCAAGTTTGCTCTGCAGAGCCAGTTTCTCCCTCACGCCTCACTTTTACTTTTTCAAATAAACTTTGATACTGTTTTTTACTTGTTTTGTCCAATTCTTTGTTCAAGGTGAGAAGAACCTGGAAATCAACTCCAGAAGGAGATGGGACCACCACAAAACCTGGTAATTTCATCTGGCAAGCTATTTCTAGAAAGAGCTACCTAGTGACATTATTTGGTGAGCCATTTTTAGAAGGATCTGATAACAGAGCCACTTCAATAAAGTGGCTTTTGTTCCTTCTACTTTTATTTTTGATCTCCTAAGCCTTTCAGTTGAGCAGCGATCGTTATGAACCTTAAAGTCTGGTAACACCAGCCAGGTGTGGTGGTGTACATCTGTTATCCTAGCACTCTGGTAGGGTGAGGCAGCAGTATTGAAAGTTTGAGCCCAGTCTGGGCAATTAAGTGCAATCCTGTATCAAAATAAAAAATTTAAAAAGGACTAGGGGTAGTTCAGAGTAAAGATCCTCACTCCAAAATCTGGTAAAATCATAAGCCAGAACACAGCAAAGGATCAGATAAAGTCCTATCCTCATGGAATTTATATTCCAGTAAACTCTTAGATTGATAAAAGCCCAAATTTTGTTTCATATGCCAGGAATAAAAATATGATCCCAGGAATCAGTGTAGAAAGGGACACCAAGCACTAGAAATAACCTTCTCACCAGCCAAGCTTGCCATAATATCTTCATCCTGCTCTCACAATTTTATATAATTATATGATCAAAAGTGGTTCTTCCTATTTTTTAAAGATGTACGTAGTTTGGAATTACCTGACAGATATGTACCTAAGACACCAATGAAAAGGAGCAACCAAAATTTTTTGTATGAATAAGACATTTAAACCTCTGGGGCCAGGGATTTAGCTCAGTGGTTCTGGTGCCTGCCTTGCAAGTGTAAGGTCCGGAGTTCAATCCCCGGTACAAAAAAAAAAAAAAAAAAAAAATTTAAACCTCCCCAAAAGGATCAAAGTAGTCATGATGGGAAAAATCAATTTTTTATTGGACTCCTAACACTTTTAAACAACAGATTAGTATTTGTTTTTTTATTTTGGATACTTATGGGGATGGTCATGTCAAGAAAAAAACTCAAAAGGGATCGGCATTGGTTGGAGGTGCTTAAAATGGAGGGGGAATGTTACCAGGTTTGGGAGTGCTGGAGTCTTCCTCTACAGGTGGTTTCTAGGTTCTTTCTGTCCTGAACAGAGAATTAGTCAGGACAAGCACAAAAAGTAGCAAAGTTTTTGTAGGGGGCTGCTGTGAGATGTGTCAAAGCCCAGGCATCTGAGGGTGTCTGAGGGCACCTGAGGACACAACCCCATCATTTAGTACAGGTGCACAATGGGGCTTCATGGGCCAGGAATGTAGCTCAGCAGTGCTGCACCTGCCTGACAAGTGTGAGGTCCTGAGTTTGATTCCTGGTACAAAAAAAAAAAAAAAAAAGAACCATGGGGCTTCATTATATAATAATGAATCAGCATAGACAACCATGCATGTGCCACACAGCCTGCAGGGTCACCCAGAATGTTTGTCTTACTATGTCTCGGTAAATTGATTTTAAAAACTACTATAAGTGCTGTGCTGAAAAATAAAGTTTGTTCTTGTTTGTTATGTCTGCTCCATGTGTGCTCTTTTCTTTGGAATCTTGCCTGACCCAGCCTCCCTTTGATATAGGGGGAATGGATGTAACTTCCAAACCTGCTAGGTATCTGAAATGTGAGTTCATGTTCTCTTGAAGGACCCTAGTTAGCAAGACAGACTCCATATTGCTGCTGAATGACCTACTTGCCTGCCCTGTAGATGAACTCAAAAGGAGGAAGCTTAGAAACCTCCTCCCCTTAGAGTCTCTTAGAAACAACAATTAATCAACTATTGTTCTACAAATGTTCTAACAGCAGGACATTCTGCTTCTGTACCTTTTGCTGGCTTTACTAGTTCTATCCCATGGGGGGCCTAGAAACTGCTGGCCTCAAAGGTGTAGAAAATATGCTAATCTCCCCCAGTTGAGGCTCGAGTCTGATGCTCCACTAGGGTCCTGGCCAGTAATAAACTGTGTGGATTTAATATCGGTCTCTGGTTAGTTCTCTCTCACTGGGTGTAACATTCTAAAATTGAAAAATGAATTCCAGGAACAACAGAGGTTAAGAATAGGAAAAATTTATTGAGAGAAAGAAAGCTTCTGTCTAAGAGAGACAGTAGGGGAACTGTAAAGTAGGTTGCCTGCTCACTCAACTTCCCAAGGGTGTTTTATGGACAAAGCCACGAGGTAAGGTGGGTTCAAGGTGGGACAAAACTGTTGTCAACTAGTGAGATTACAAGTACAGTCACTTAGGTAATATTGCTCTAATGAGAAATCACAAGGTGGATAAAACTATGAACAACAAATAAGATTATGACAAGTATTGTTGCTTAGGTAATAATGATTAAATGGGGGTCCAATGGGGAAGCAAGTCACAAGCAAGCGTACAAGGAATGAGCAAGGATTTTCAGTGGTAATTGATATCTAGAATATCAACCGGGGATTTAGTTCAGTGGTTTCACTGCCTGCTGCGCAAGCGCAAGGACCTGCGTTCGATCCCTGGTACCAAAAAAAAAAAAAAAAAAAAAAATTGTAGAATATCAATCACTGCTATTCATGCTATGCGGGTGTGGTAGTTTCTCTTCTTTTACAATGCTGGCTTTCAGTGACTGTGTCTTGATTGTCCTCCATGTTGGCTCAATTGTCCTCCATCTTGGCTCCTCCTGTGTTGGCCCTGTCTAACTGCCTACAAGATATCTAATTAACTTACCTATCTACAATACCTTCAGCCTGCCGACTCTAACCGTTTTACACTGACTAAAGAAAAGAAACAGGCTCTACAGACAGTTTTGGCCAAGTAAAAGCAGGAAAAGTACACTCTATGGCATGAGTGGGAACTACTGTGAAAGACCACAGCAGCAGAGAGAGCTCAATGGTGACTTTTTGTATCACTCACTCCTCAGGCTGATATCAGATCTAGGCCTATCCAGAACTTGTTGGATTATTTTCATAAGTCCATGTGCAGGGGTTTGAACTTTTCTTCATAGTGTCCTGGGATTTTGCAACTAATAGGTCACACCTATCTCCCCAACCAGCCTGCCACACCCTAATCTCCTGCCTCAGAAAAACTGTTAATCATATCTCAGATACTGTGCAGCTCAACTTTTGAAATAGTCTGTAGCTAAGTCCACCCTACCATCATGTTGATCTTTGAAACATTGACCTCTGTTGACCTTCTGTACAAGGGAACTCTTCCCCAAAACTACCTAGAGACTGAGACCACCACACCTAGTCCCTTTTTTACAAAAGACCCCAACTTTTGCCAATACCAGTCATAATTCCTGTTATAACTTCCCATCTCTTTGCAGTTTAAAGCTCTAAATCCAGCCACCATCTTGTAAAACCTCTGCACATGCTTTTAAAATGGCTTGAATGTGTGTTTTCCCAGATTGCAGTCCTAATTAGCTTCAAGTAAATATTATTCTTTGCTTGACTGGATTGACTTTATTCTAGGTTGACAGTGGTATCATAATCCTTCCAATGCATAAACCCTCTAAAGGTATAAAGTAAATCTGCAGTTTTCCTGACTCTCACAAAAATGGTTACTTCATGTACAGAATTTATTTTCACACATGGGTAGTAATCTTTCATAGGACCAGTTTCATATTTTAATATAGCTTCCAGGTAAATAATCTCCCCTATATAAGGGCATCTCCTGTATTTGTCCGTGCCTTTAACTGAGCTCTCACGGAGAAATCCTCATTAACTACTTAAGGATGTGGTAGGTCTTTGCTTATCAAAAGTCACATGTTGGGACATCTAACCTTGTGACGCCTCTGCTCAGCATATTTTAGTCATTTTAAGTATATTGTGTGGGTTGAAACATTTTCTTTTTAATTTACTTACATTTATTGACTGCCTCTCTGTAGCAGTGCTGCTCAAATCGCTGTCAATATAATAGTAGGTGGTTTAATTATAAATATCTTCTGAAGTAAGTCCTGATAACAATTCTCATTTTACAGACAAGGAAACAGAAGCTGAGAGAGGTCAAAATACTCAGCTAATGACACAAGCCTCCCTGGCGACAGAGTTTATTAACCCCTATGTTTGCTTTTTCCTCAAAATCCACTAAGATCAATTAACATGCATTTATACCAATTACCAGGGAAATCAAAGTGGTCAGACCTCTTATATGCTACTGTTCCTACGCCATAATTTATCTCCTTCCTCACATTTAATGCCCAAAATCACCACAAACAAGAACAAAGCAAAATTCTGAGGCGCTGACCTGCCTAAAGGCACGGCTCATAACTGGAGGTGACAATACTTAATTTACAGCGTAACTCTAACCTCTTAAGAACAACCCCCATCCCAGCACAGGGCAGTATCGCTTTTTGGTCACTCTGCTCCCGGAAGTGCAATCCCAAGCGAAGGGCAGTTTCCGGCAAAAAAAAAAAAAAATTGACATGAGAAAGCCGGAAAGGGATCAGGTCGTCCGGCTCTGGCGCTCTAGCATTCCTGCACTCTATGGCCGCCGCCGATTGACTAGCCCCGTCGCAAGGCTCTTCTCAATTGGATGCACAGCCTCGCGTAGGCGGGCTGCCTGTTTCTCGGCGCGCTGATTGGGTCAGCCCTCTCTGCCCAGCGGAGGGAAGGTGCTTGGGGGCAAGCAGACGAGGGGATCGGCTGTCTTCTCGGCCGAGCTAAGGAGGAACACATGTGGGCCCTTCGCTCGCTCCTGCAGTCTGTGGGCAGGCGCGCCATGTTTGAAGGACCCGCCCGCCGCCAGCGGCCGCCCAAGGACCCGCTGCGACACCTGCGCACGCGGGAGAAGCGTGGCGCGTCCTCCGGGACTAGGAGCCCGAACACCGTGTACCTGCAGGTAGTGGCGGCCGGCGACCGGGATTCAGGCGCCGCGCTCTACGTCTTCTCGGAGTACAACCGGTCAGTGTACCATCCTCGGAGCCCGAGTGGGCCTCTGCGTCGCGGCGTCTCCTGGGGCTTCGGTTTCTCCCACTTCCACACGTGTGCGATTTGACTGTTGCATGGGTTCTGCCAAACTAGTGGGTGGGGGATCCTAGACTGCTCGTATGCCTTCGTACGTACGGTTTCTGGGGATTTGTGAAGAACTTCGGTCGTGAGTCTAAGCGTCCTCTTTCTTCCTAACTCTTGTGTCACGGGCTGACTCTTGGTAAGCATTGAGCGGCGTCCTCCTCGCGTCACCGCAAAGCGTGCCTCTTAGTTGGTGTGTGCTGGGTGGGGTAGACAGGTCAGATGAGCTTTTGGGGAAAAGTTCCATTTCTCCCCCCGCTGGCTTATACATACATGCCCTTACTCCTCCTAGCCTCTTCAAGGACAGTTCCAAACCTGCCATCCCAATGGAAACACTGCCTGGCTTGTACTACACTGAGTTTTAGTTGTTTGGTTCAGAGTCTGTAGTAAAGTATCTTATCAGTATAGTGTCAGAGATTTTACAAAATAGGTTCTTCTTAATATTGTGTTCCTCTGACAGGTATCTCTTCAACTGCGGAGAAGGCATCCAGCGACTCATGCAAGAACACAAGTGAGTCAACAATTGGTATTCGGGGTGGAGATGATTGTGGGGCTTGTAAGCTGTGAGAAACAGGTGTGTTTTTATAGCAGAAGTGGCCTGTCCATTTTATCCTGCTAAAATGTTTTCTTTTTGTAGACTGAAGGTTGCCCGCTTGGACAACATATTCCTGACGCGAATGCACTGGTGTAATGTTGGGGGATTGTGTGGTGAGTGTGCTCTTTGGAGGGTCAGAGGCTGGTGGAAGCCTCTGGGATTTTAATGTGTCTTGCCCTTATTTTGCCCCTCTCCTGAGTCCAGGGGACCTGGAATTCTTTTTGTGCCAGTCCAGTCAGCTGCAGTATGGAGCGTCAAAAGCTGTGACTCAGAAGAGCCTTTTTTTTTTTTTTTTTTGGTACCGGGGATAGAACTCAGGTCCTTGCGCCTGAGAGGCAGGCAGAGGAACCACTGAGCTAAATCCCCGGCCCTAGAAGAACATATTTTAACATGGCTATTTTGTCCAAGTGTTAGCATCCATTTCTTGGATTGCTGTGTCAGAGCTTTCACTGGAGAATGTATTGGTGGTGATGAAAGCGTGCATATTTATCACGAACGACATCAGCCACTTATAGATATCTACTATCCGAATTAATCATGTTCATTAACTGGGAAGGTTAAGATTGTGTTGCAGTCAGACTGTAAGCTTAAGGATGTGGATAGGAAGGAGTGGAATACTGCCCTGATCCCAATTTTGAGAGCTGAGTGTGAGGTGGTGGTTGTGAAGTGCCTAACAAACAAAATGTAAAGCAGTCCCCTCCTTACATTTTGCATACCGGGTGCCTCATTGCCTCACCTGACAGTCAACTCTGCCCTTTTCAGAAGCCTGTGGGGAGGACACTGTATCCCTTACACCTCTAGTTAGTATCACTTCTGCTGCTTTGCATTCACTGCCTGATGGCTGCTTAGGAGCTGAGTGAAGACGTAGATGAGTAACTACATAAGGAGGTAGTGTTGCTGCTCCTGACAGGGACTACAACTCAGGTTGATAAGAGATCTAATTTTATTCTTTCTCTTTAGGAATGATTCTTACTTTAAAAGAAACTGGAGTTCCAAAGTGTGTACTTTCTGGACCTCCACAATTGGTGAGTCTTTCCTGACTACCTGTCAAAAGTAACTCCTCTTTATTCAATGTAAATGACAAAAATTTTCATTTATGCAGATCGGTCTTTTGTCCTTTATGGGTAGTAGACACTTCCCCTTTCAAGTTAAATAGATATGAGTTCAAAATCTAGTAAGATCTTAAATGAGTTATTTTGCCTCTCTGAGCTTTGGTTTCTTCATCTATAAAATGGCTATACTGTAATGTTTTGTAAAGTTGTTAAAGATTAAATGAGGTAACACAACCAAAGCACTAGTTTATTAGATGTTTGGTGCCAAATAAGTACTTAATAAATGATGGCTTTTTGTTCTTATTTACTTATTAAATATCAGACATGTTCATACCAGTCACCAAGTCCTATTAATTCTACTTCTAAAATACTGTCTAAAGTCCATCCATTTGTCTCCATCTCCTTGAAGCCTTCATCCTCTACCACGTCTGTCTACTATAGTAGCCTTTCATATCTGTCCTTGTTTCCCTCTAATTCATCTGCCACCCAGCACCAGAGTGCCCTCTTTAAGATACAAATGCATTGTGTCACTTCTCAACTTAAAACATTTCAGGGTGTTTCCATTGTAATACAACCCACATAACTTGGTATGGTCTACAAGTCCCATAAGCCCTGGCCCTTGCCCACACTCCTCTCTGTATTTATCATCAAGCTACAGCTACAGCTACAGGGCTGATGTTCCCCTGCCACCTATCATCCTAGCCTCTGTCCTTACCGAACTTTCAGGGACCAGCTAAAAAGTTAGTTCCTCTGGAGCTATCCTTGCCAGAAAAGTTGGTTCCAGAGCCCTGTGTTTTTTAGTTTTCTTGGAGGGCTCTTAGCATAATTGGCACTAAGTTGTTTATGTTACCATTTGTTTCAATTTTATCTCTTCCCTTGGATTCATGAAAGCAAGGACTTCATCTCCTTTGTACTGCTAAGTCTTTGGCTTCTGCGTATATAGGGGACCCATCACAATTTGTATAGATGAGGTTCAAAATGCTTACTAAAGTTTTTTTTTCCTGTTGATATCTGACCCCACTTACATAGTTGAATACATTGCTATGTTCTATATTTGTTGAACTATAAATACTCACTTATTTATATTTTTTAGGAAAAGTACTTGGAAGCAATCAAAATATTTTCTGGGCCATTGAAAGGAATAGACCTGGGTATGTCTTTGACTGTGGTTCATTATTTAATATTCCTTTCTCATATTCACCCTGCTTTTCAAATTAGAGTCCACTAAAATTTGCTGTAAGGTGACACATGCCTGTAATCCCATCTACTTGTGAGGGCGAGACAGGAGGATAACAAGTTCAAGGCCAGTCAGGGCAGTTTGAGGGAGACCTTGTCTCAAAATAAAAAAATGAAAAGGGCTGGGGAATTTGCTCAATGTAGAATGCCCCTGGGCTCAATCCCCAGTATCAAAAAACAAAACACAGCTCTTAGATCAGACCTTAAAATCAAGTGCTTCATCAGCATTGAGATGGATTTTAAAATATTGCTTTGTGTCACTGCCTGTGCCCCCCACCTCGTGCCACAGAATTACTGACTAGACAACCCAAGAGTATGTTACAATTGTTATTTTCTAATTATTTATTAGGAAATTTTATTTGATTTTTTTATATGAGTGCTTTGTATATTTTCTTTATTAATATCTACTTGTATTATATTAAAATAAAATTTTTAAAAACCTGATGCATGTCTGCAAGTGTGTCAGAGGTGTAACAGCATCTACTCAGGCCCTGGGGCTCCTTCCCCAGCCCAAGCAGTGATTCTTGGTGCTTTGAGTTCTCTGCAGGAGGAAGAGAGGGAGTGAAGGCTTCATGGCCAACTCTGTGGCTGATCCTAAGCTGTCCCTGTGCTGGGGCCTCACAGCCTCTAATGGGAAGAGACTTAACTTAGGTTGCTGATAATGTGCATCTTTGGCTTGTTAGTGCTCTTTTTTCTTTTTTTTGGTACGGGGGATCCAACTCAGGACCTTGCGCTTTCGAGGCAGGTGTGGTGCTACTGAGCTAAATCCCCAGCCCTTAGTGCTCTTCTTTTATAAAAACATGAATATCTTACTTCAGGATGTAAACCAGTTCAAATAGTTGAGATGATAAATTGTTTAGCTTCTTAATCCTGTTTGTTAACTCAGGGCTCTTAAATTGGAGTGCAGTAAGTCCCCAGTTTACAAACAAGTTCTATTCTAGGAGAACATTCGTAAGTTGGATTCATTTGTAAGTCTGATGAAGTGAGTCTTCTACACCTTGGACACAAATATACAATGTAAAGCATAAAAAAAACAAATATGAAGACTGTTTGTATCTGTGTAAGTTTGGACTTGAATATTTCTAAGTCGGAAACTTACTGTATGGTATCTGTTTCTTTCTATATTTTCTTTTTCTAATAGATTCTCAGCAATGAGCATGTCTTTTCATTTGACTGGTAAATATGAATGATAAAAACACAGTTTTATTTTTTCCTAAATATGTTTATCTGCTCAAAAATTCTGGTTTTCACAGGCCAAGCACAAGGTCCTGAGTTCAATCCCTGGTAACACACACACACACACACACCAAAAAATTCTGGTTTTAGTGGGAAATTTCTGCCAAATTTGTAAAGCAATTTGAAAGTTCATTTTCATGTGTCTGTACTAATCCAATCAGTTTCCTAACTTGTGACTTTTCTGTAGCTGTGCGGCCCCACTCAGCACCAGAATACAAAGATGAGACCATGACAGTTCACCAGGTCCCCATATACAGTGAGTATGAAAGCCAGATTTCCCAGGAGAGAATGGTATAGGTCCCAAGTATGGAAAGTGTGGGTGAAGTCAGAAACTGTTTGCATACTTGCTTTGGCTACCCTATGTTGTATCCTTTGTATGTTTAAGAAATTTAACTGAAGAATTAAGATTTGTTTTCTGCCCTCAAAGAGCTTATGGTCTTGTGAACAGATGTTGTACTTAATATAATAATAGTGGTCTTGCTTTGGAACACTTTTTAATCAAGTGCTATCAGAAAATAGCCTGCACTAACATTTGCATATTCATCCTTGAGGGTTAGAGTTTTGTTTGCCACAGGTATAAATACTCTCTTTTTTGATAAGAGGATTCCTGAGGGATTTGTTCAGATTAATAGTTTTTGATAACTACAACGAAAAAGTATTATCAGGGTCTGAGAAGCTCCAACAAAGCTTGTCAGGACCAGGGCCGGATGATGTTTTGACTTGGGAACAGAGAAGCTCTGTGGTGCTTGAGTCTGGCCAGATGCTCTGTATGCAGTTTTATCTACTTGGGAAGAGCATTCCTAGTAGTAGTAGCAGGGACTTTTAGCACTAACTAGTATGAGCTTCCCAAGTGCTGAAAGGCCACAGATAAGAGCATAAAAGCCAGAGAAATCCAGAGGAGATAAGGAGATAAGATTGCCACAGGTAGGCCAGGCACAGTGGCAGGCCTGTACTAATCCCACCATTTGGGAGGCTGAGGCATGAGTTTGAGGCCAGCCTGGAATAAATAGTGAGTTCAAGGCCAGCCTAAACTACATAATGAGACCCTGTCTCAAAAAACTTAAAAAAAAAAAGATTGCCACTGGTAGAATGGAGTGTAAAGAGTGGGGCTGGAGCTGTGGCACAAGTGCTTATAGGCCAGGAGATGATGTTCTGAGTAGACTCCTTACCTGGTTCACTCCTGGTCAGGTGTCTTAACCTGACCTACACTGCCCCCCACCCCAGTTGTCTCCCTCTGTTGTTTCTCTCCATTTCCTCTAGCCCGTGTTCTTCCCTACTGCACTTTACAGTTTATGTGTCGTGTGGTCATTGCTTAACTGGCTTTCTTTTGCTGATCATTGAGTGGTTCTGTTGATACCAGAGGCTGTGCTTCAGCTTCTCCGAGCAGCCGTTTTTTTGCTTGGCTTTGTGACTTCACTGCCCCATGATGCTTCTGTGCGTGGAGATGGGTACCCTTTTGACCTGTTCGTTTTCTGAGGGTAATGGTAATGAATGAACCAGCCTTCAGCCTGCATGCTTTACTGTCAGCCAACACTGTTGAATCGTTACTGTGGGCAAGGCTCTGGGCTAAGCAGAAACGTAGAGATGAGTGAGACACAAACAATAGTAGATAGTGAGACACCGCTATAGTAAACTGTGTGCCGATTTGCTTGGTGTTCTGGAATTCCTGTGTGTGACCGCCTGGCTCGGCAGTGAGCTTCCCTTGTGTGGTGTGTAATTTGATGGATTCCTGTGCTACCTAGGTGAACGGGGGCATGGAAAGCACCAGCCATCGCAGAGCCCGGAAAGGTCTCTTCACAGGCTGAGTCCAAAACAGCCTTCTGACTCTGGATCAGCTGAAAATGAGCAGCACTTTCGAGATGCCAATGGTATAAACAAACCCTGCTGGAAAGGTACTTGCATTTTTTTATGCTTTGCCCTTGTTCAAGATTCATTTATTTTTCATTGATAAAATAATAATATATACTTAAGGGGTACAAAGAAATGTTTTGATCTATGTAGAAAGACTGAATCAAGCTAGTTAATTTAGTGGTCATCTCACCAATTTATATTTTTGCATTTAAGGACTGAAACTTTGATCAACATCTCCACTTTCCCCATCATTCTCCCTTATTCCCAGCTTTTAGTCATCTTTTTTTTTGAGGCAGGATCTTGCTATGTAATTCAGGGCCTAGGCTGGCCTTGAAACTCATAGGGATCCTCCAGCCTCAGCCTTCTAAGTGCTGGGATTTATAGGTACGTGCCACCACACATGGCTTTCTGGTCACCTTTTTATTGTGTTTTTATGATGTCAGCATTTTAAAATTCCACATATAAGTAAGGTCATATAGAATTTGTCTTCCTGTGCCTGGCTTATTTCACTTAACGTAGTGACTTTGAGTTTTATCCATGGTGTCACAAATGAGAATTCTTTGCCTTTTAATGATGTTCTATGTGTGCAGATACTTTTTCCTTGACACATAATGCTTCCTTGGCTTGGGGAAGGTGAGAATAGTTGTCAGAAAGGTGACAGTATTGAGCTTTAAAGACCCTGGGTAGCCCCAAAACTTGTGTTCAGTTTATCCAGAAGAAAGCAGAGCCTGGCAAACTCAGTCATACAGAGGGCCTTTGTGTTTTACATGAACTACTGGAATGTTAATACAAGTTAGTTTTTCAGTAATGCAGAAACTGACTACTAAAGCTGACACAACCATTGCATCAGTGAGTCGATCTGAACCTTTTCTTTCAGAATGACATCCTACTGGGAAGCAGTTAAAAGTCCAGGCCCAGATGTAGCTGCAGAACTGGGCTGCTCAAGGGTTCTGTTGTCCAGTGTCCGGCAGAACTCACTCAGATCCTCTTCCCCGGAGAGCGTCTGGTCTGATGACCTATCGAAGGCAGCCCTTCAGTGCCATCCTTTTTTGGCCAGCAAGGGATGAAGACTGTCGTCTACATTCTTCCCGCAGGCCTTCTAGCTTTTGTCTTATTTTGCATGTTTTGTTTTTAAAGCACATGACAACTTATTTTTTGTTTTCTTCACCATTAGGTAAAGTCGGTCCCTTAGAAAGTGTTATTTGCTAAGTTTTTCTGGCTGAAATTTTGCACTTTTTGTTTGCTCAACATAAGCAAAATAAAAAGAGAACTGACCTGCTGAGGAATATCAGGGTCTTCTTCCACCTTTGGGTTGGGATGGTAATGTCTATTTAATTTATATAGAAAGTAAAATTAGGTATCAAATGGTGGGAATTTGTGAAGCCTGTACAACCAAGAGCTTGTAATCAACTGTGTTTTCCCTCAGGTGTTAGCCCGAAAAGACGTGGCAAGGACCCTTCCTTGGTTGTTGCTTTTGTATGTAAGGTAAGAGCGTCTTTCCAGACTCATGCTGTAATAAGCACATGGTGGGTAGCTGAGGTGTTGCTGTAGTTTGGAACCTTCAGTTAGCATTTTCGCAGTAATTAAAGATAACAGCTCCTAAGTTACCTTGCCCAAGAAGAAATACAGATACCTGTTTCTCAAAATACCCCTCATTTTTATATTATATCCCTTTAACCTCGGTCTCTTCCAGTGTTCTGTCAGTCTGCATATGCATTTTAGACTTTTATTTTTTGGTACCGGGGATCAAACTCAGGTCCTTGCGCTTGCAAGACAGGTGGCGTAACCACTGAGCTAAATCCCCAGCCCTGCATATGCATTTTATATTTGCCTGATTGGATCTTCAGGAATTCGGAGTTACAGGCGGTGTTTGTTTTCTTCCCAATCAGGAAGGCTTTTATTCAGACTCCCTCAAGTTTGTTCTAATTTATTTCATTTTACTGTAGTAATTAAGGTATTAACATCAGATTTAGTACCATTCACGCAGCTCTAAATCTACAGAATGCAATTGATCAGATTCCATTAAGAATTTTTATTACATCCATCCAGGTATGGTGACGCACAACTATAGTTCCACCACTGTAGGCTCACCCTGATCAACATAGTAATTTAGTGAGACCCTGTCTCAAAAAAATTAAAAGGGCTGGTGATGTAGCTCAGTGCAGAGGCTCTGGACTTAACCCCAAGTACTGGGTTGGTTGGGAGATTTTAATTACAGTAAGCTATTTTTTTTGTTTGTTTGTTTGTTTTTGGTACTGGGGATCGAACTTGGGTCCTTGTGCTTGCACAGCAGGCCTAACTAGGTATAGTTTTAAAATAAACCAGTGATATCTTCATAAAACTGTAAAAATTCATTTTATTTATGATGATATAATTAAGTTTTTTAAATTATTTTTTAAGCCTCTAGGGCCACTGAGGGTTTTTTTGTTTTTGTTTTTTTGTTGGTTTTTGGGGGGTTTTTTTGGTACCGGGGATCGAACTCGGGTCCTTGCGCTTGCTCAGCAGGCAGCGAAACCACTGAGCTAAATCCCTGGCCCACAGTAAGCTATTTTTAAAAACTGACTAATGGTCTACTTTTAGTAGGACTTTATAATTTTATTTTATAACCTCTAACAAGTGTTTTTGCCTAATTTATGGTAAGACTACATTATTTTTTTGTGGGTTTGATTTTTTGGGGGCGGTTAAAGTAATATTAATTTTAAAATACATTTGGAATTTAATTACTAGATCATTGCTAGTATTATTTCTATCAATGTGTTTGAATGACAATTACAATTTTTATAGAAGTTAAGTACTGTTGTCAGTGTTACTTGTGTGTTTGAGATTTTAGGCTCCAATCTAATTTTTTAAACTATTTCACATGGCAGTCTTTATATTGTGTTAGATGCTCTTCACATTCTTGCCATTCCATTGTCCTCAGGCAGCTATTTGGGTGCTGTAGGCCCTGATGCTAAGTATCTGCAGGCTGCTCACCCTGGCTTTTCTCCACCCTTGCTGTCTGGCGCCGCTTCTGAGAGCTGCTGTCACAGGGTCAGCAATATCCCCTCCTCCCCTTGTAGTTAATCTGCTGCTTTGCAGCCAGGGTTTGGAAAGCAGTGCACTGAGCTAATTCAAATTCTGGGTGGTCAGAGAAAAGAAGCTGTGGGTGCAAGGGCTGAGAAACCACATCTGAGAGAACAGTGTGTGGTTTAGGCCACTCTTGGATGGCTCTCAGGTCTTGTTGGGTTGTGTAGTTCTCATCTGTCTTCTGCATTGTCTGCTTTCCTCATATGGGGAAAAGGTCTGTATGGGTCGAGTGCAGCTTGCCTTAGGTGTGCAAGTTCCTTTTTAACATTAGAAACACTTAGTTTCCATCCTCAGATCCACTTGAGTCTGTGGAGAAAATACTTGTTCACTACAGTGCTTGTTAATGTCACCTAAAAGTGTCGGCTGGACTCGGCATCTTTGTGTGCTATGCATACACTGAAGCTGCAGTCCTGTAGGACGATATTTGTCCTTCCTCTAGGACAGTGTTTTTAAGATGGAAGGAGCATTCTAGAATCCTGCGAGTGAGACTTTGGCATCCAGATTTGAGATTTGATTCTAAGAGTAACTTCTTATCTTCAGGAAGTTAAAACTGAACACAAATTCTTTATCCAGATTTTAAAAAGAAAAGATCAAATATAATTTAGCAAAGATCTGTTAGCATCTTAATTTTGACTTTTCTGTTGTATGTGAAATACGTAGACCCTAAAAATATTTCAACAGAAGTACAGAGTGATTATGAGGCTTTGTGATAGGATTATTGTTTGCCTTCCTAACATAAGAGCATATTGGGAATTTGTTATTATAATTTCTCTAGTATAAAAGCAACAACATTATATTGCCAAATATTTGAAAAATGTAGGAGATTAAAAAAAAAAACAAAAACAACCCATCTAGGGCCTAGGATTTAGCTTGGTGCCACTGCCTGCCTCGCAAGCACAAGGTCGTGAGTTCAATCCCTGGTACAACGAAAACAAAGAAACAAACAAACAAAAAACTTGAAAAAAAACCCCATCTGTTCTTGTTACTCTATCACTGTGAATAGAATATCGTGTTACTCAGCAATTTGCTTGGTCATTGCCTTGTTAAACAATGCTTTAGTTGCTTTCCTCTAGCTGTTCATGGATGAATGTAGAATGATAAAACAATTTTGACATGGGAAAAAGCATAAAATTTTATATATATATATTTTTTTGAGTCAGGGCCTTGCTATGTAGCGTAGACTGGTCTTGAATTCGCTGGCCTCAGAATTGCAGTAATCCTCCTACCTTAGCCTCCCCAGTTCTGGGATTACAAGTGTGTGCCACCATGACCAGCAAAATTTGTTGTATTTCTAATGAGTGGATGTTGGCCAGTAAATCGCTTTTAAATTATTTAGGTTTTAGTTCTAAAGGGCTCCTTCAGAAAATTGTATCCATTATGGAAACAATGAATTGCAGTTTAATTGTAAGAAAATAACTTTAAATTAAAAAACAGAAAAATACACTTCTAAGAAAGTTCACTAAAACCAAGCTTCCTCCCCAGCCACTGAAATTACATCTTCGTTCTCTTTGTTACAGCTTCACTTGAAGAAAGGAAACTTCTTGGTGCTCAAAGCGAAGGAACTGGGCCTCCCAGTGTGAGTGTCAGGGCTGAGTCAGCTGTTGGGGACTCATGGGCCCCCACCGCTCATAAAGAGAAGGCATCTTACAGGGGCCTTGCATCTTCATTTCAGTGGGACACCTGCCATCGCGCCCATCATCGCCACAGTCAAGGATGGGAAGAGTATCACATACGAAGGAAGAGAGGTGAGGCACCAGCTCTCCACGGTGACTCAGCACTTACAGGGGGCTCGGGCCCCACGGACCCCGCTTTTGCAAGGAGCGGGACAGCTTGGAATTCTAGCAGTTGTCTGTGCAGTGGAGCGCTTATCTAGACTCGTCCTGCTTATGAGCACTGCTGTGCTTGGCACGTCTGTAGATTTTCTGTCCGGAACCTGGTGGTTCTCCTACAAGCATGGATCTTTTTCTTTGTACGTGAGATCAGGGCAGTATCTAAAATCACAGGAGCTTTGAGTTCATAGCCCAAAAGAATGCCACTGTGGGGTTTTTGGGTTTTTTGGTACGGGGATTAAACTTGGAGCTTAGTTTATTTTGAGACAGAGTTGCTAAGTTACCCAAACTGGGCTTGAACTTGAGCTTGTGATCTTCCTGCCTCAGCCTCCTGGAATGCTGGGTTTACAGGTGTGTACCACCAAATCCAGTGTTTGCCACTGTGTTCCTTTTTGTTTCTTTTCCTTATTGAGAATCAAACTCAGGTCCCTTGAGCTTGCCAGGCAGGCACTGTGCCACTGAGCTACATCTCCGGCCCTGCCACTGTGTTCTTCATCAAGATTTTTATCTAGTGTCTCAGGCTGTGATGACCAATGACTGCAGAGTCTTGAACACCAAGCCTTGTTTTCTACCTACTCTACCTTTGAAATATCGCAATAAGCTAAATTTCTGGCTTTTTAAATATAGACAGAGCAGGAAGGGTGCAGGTGATGCCCTTCAGGTGAATTTTGTGTTTTGCCTCCTTGGACACAGGCTGTGTAATGTTTGAAGCTGTCTTGACGGCTGTTCAGTTAGGGAGAGCACTGATGGCCCAGTGAGCTGGCCTGTTTGATTTTGCAGATTTTGGCTGAAGAGCTCTGCACACCCCCGGATCCTGGTCATGCATTTATTGTGGTCGAATGCCCAGATGAAGGATTCATCCAGCCCATTTGTGACAATGCCACCTTTAAGAGGTAATGATGCGGGGTCTGTGGGTGCAGAAGTACGAGCACACTTGCTTAGGAAGCCTAGCCCAGCATGGGCCCCAGGGCTTCAGGGACTGAGCTGTGTCTCTGTGGAAACCTGTGGTCTGGGTGTGAAACTTGTGTCTGTCCTACTGGCAAGATTTATACCACTGCTGGTAGTTATACATAGCCTTGAAGTAAAATAGAGGACTAGAACATAAACTAGAATTCTTGAAGTTCTAGGTCTAGAATACATTCTAGAACCATCTTTGAATTTTAATTATTAACATTATTTGAATTGTTTTTGCCTACATGAGTTTCCTTTACTCATGTACACCAAACCTAATGAGGTAGGGCAGAGTGTTTGAGACTGTGGGTCAAAAGTTTGTGTTAAGGGGCAGAATAGCAGCCTGGGAACATCCTCTGGGCCCGAGTGCCACTCTGTTTTGTCCTTTGGAAAAGTTAGCCAGTTTTGTGGTTAAGGTTTAATCCAGGGTAGAATCTTTTATGTACATATCTGTGTGCTAAGTCTTCTCCCAGGGCACAGCACTATGCAGCACAGTCCTCATGTGTACACATACTGAGTTTGGTTCACTTCTTGAAGCTGAGTCCCATTCGCTTTCCTTAAACCAGGTACCAAGGAGAGACTAATGGTCCTGTGACCATGGTAGTTCACATGGCCCCAGAATCTGTGCTTATGGACACCAGGTACCAGCAGTGGATGGAAAGGTAAGGAGCCTAGCAAACATGGGGCCACTTTTCTGGGTGGTGATGTATCTCCTCACCTTTAAGTGCTGTCTACCCTCAATTCTGCACTTGCCTGCATTTTCTCTGGGAATCCTGCCTTACGATTTCTGGAAATGCCTGTCAGTACCAGAGAAACCACCGCTAGGTGGCGTGGTGTATACATGCATCCCACTTGTACAGGGCTTGATTTCACATCATTTTACATCCTTTATACACTTGGTATTGTCTGAACTAGTCTTTTGGTTGATGATTCCACATGCTTATACTAAGTCAGAGACTTGCAAATATAAAATAGTAGCTTCTGCTTATTGAATGTCCACTTATGTCAGCTAGTGTGTTACATATTGTACATTTCACTATCCGGTTCTTCTCAGCAAGTCTGTGAGGCAGATGTTCTACATAGTGTAGTAACTGGGAGGAGAGCCCTGCAGTCTGTTCTCAAGGCTTCCCTGGCCAAGGCCAGCACCTGGGGGGAAGAGTGTGTCTGTGTTGTCCTCAGATTGCTTCTCAGCATCCCCCTTGCTCCTCCCTACATAGCTTCTTGTCTCTGTCCTCTTGGCCCTAATGTTTCTTGCTCTTCAGTGCTCATCTGTCATTCTTTGAGGGTCCAAGTCATAACATGATCTGTTTCTCTTATGACTTTTCTGGCACCCTGCACTCGTGTTGTCTTCAGATCCCTATCTGAACATCTTAATTTTGGGGGCGTTTTCTACCACTCTTTCCAGCACACCTCAGGGGCAGCCATAGTAGGGAGAGAACACTGGACCTTGAGGCAAAAGAAACAGAATTATGCTTGGCCATGTAATAACTATTTGGGGCAAGCGAGGAATCTCTTTGCACACTTATTAGGGCTTCTGATCTCCAGCGCTGCCCCCTGGGTAAACTTGGTCCCAAATGGATGCAATATATGGTTGGTTTCAACTTAGGTTTGGGCCTGACACCCAGCACTTGATCCTGAATGAGAACTGTGCATCAGTCCACAACCTTCGCAGCCACAAGATTCAAACGCAGCTCAACCTCATCCACCCAGACATCTTCCCCTTGCTCACCAGTTTCCACAGGAAGGTAGTATCTCAGAACAGCCCCCGCCCACCCAGCTCCTGTGCTATTGGTGCTGTTGAGTGTATTCTCATCTGTTTCAGGAGGAACACCTGGCCCTCAGTGTGCCCACTGTCCGGGGTGAATGCCTCCTCAAGTACCAGCTCCGTCCCAGGAGGGAGTGGCAGAGGTCTGTGCCATTCTGAACCAGTGCAGTGGGTAAAGTTAGGAGAATTGGGGCCAGTAATTATCCTTTTCAGAAACTTTTCCATGGTAACAGTGATAGTGATGATTGTTTCACAACATAGAAAATAGGAAGTGTATGCTGAAGGAACTCACCCATCATCCTGTCACATAGAGTGACTTAACATTTCATATTTTTAAATTTATGTATGTGAGGATGTATTTAAAATATGTGTGTGGTCTTATGGCTTAGTTTTTGTCAGTCTTTTCATATATCATTAAACAGTCTCTAATAACAGGGACTTCATTGGTATTTCAGATACGGGTATTTACTCATTTAGGATATTTCTAATTTTTTGCTGTCTTAATGAAGAAAGGAATATCTTTTGTATAAATCTTAGAATAGAACCTGTCCCTGAAGGTAATTTGGATATGTGGGATTACCAGGTCTGAGTGTGATAGTTCTCCAGGCCCTGGTTACTATCAATTGCCATCTGGAGCGCCTCTTGCCAATATTCTCCAGCCAGGAGACTGAAAAGTGCTCACTGCCCCACGGTTTTATTTTACATTTTGAGCTCTGAATCTGGAGTCATCTAAGTATCTTGGCCACTCCACAGTGTCAGTGTTAGGAGAGACCATGATCTGGATTACGGTATGCAGTTGTAATCGGTGGGTTAGTGCTCCTGAAGAGCCTCCATGGTGGGGGACTGGGCCCATAGGTCCACAGGCTGAAGGGCCTACTGCTTCCCTTGTCAGCTCCTGCCAGGCTGGTACACAGGCAGCAACTCATCTAGCCAGTGTTCAGACTCATCTTGTGCTTGGGAGACTTACAGTTTTGGGGACCTGTCCCAGATGTGTTGAAATAGGATCTTGAGAGTTGGCTTGGGTTTTACTTTACCTTACTTATCTTACCTTAACTTCTGGGTGATTTTAAGAGCCAACAGACCAAGGCATTGCTGCTCCGTGTAGTGAGACCAGCAATGCCAGCATTATCTCCAACAGTGGGTTCTCAGGCCCCTTCCATACCTCCTGAGTTGTTTCTGTATTTTGCCAAAGTTCCCAGCAATTAGCTCTGTGTACTCAGTTTGAGAGTCTGTCTTTAGGGCCTGCTTCTCGGCTGAGGCCACTTGGCAATGTCTGGAGGCATTTTTGTCCATTGCAGTGTGGGATGAGGTAGTAGTTAGGAGAGGACAGCTCCTACCACAAATACTCACATGGCCCTGAGCATCAGTAGTGCCCAGTTGTCAGGCTTTGAGGCTGAGAGATGCTGCGAGGAGCTCAAGCTATTCAGAACCCATTCTGAGATACCCCATTTAGCTAAGGAAGGTTCCAGAGGCAGCCAGGCTTGATCTGAAGGAAGACTCTGTACATGGTCCCCTTGGATTGATTCTGGACATCCAAACCAGCACTTGCTGAGGCCTCACGCCCCATTTTGGTCACTCGAAATGCCTCTTTCTCTGCAGGGATGCCATTGTTACATGTAACCCTAATGAATTCATAGCTGAGGCCCAGGAGTGCCCCAATTTCCAGGAGAGTGTGCAGGAATATAGGAAGAGCGTACAGGATGGCCCAGGGCCCACAGGTGAGTGGGCAACCTCTCTTCATCGATTCTGCCACCTGCTGTGGACCTCAAAATATTGAGCAGGGTATTCACAGAGCAAATTCTAACCTAGTTTATTTATGTAATCCAGGGCTTCTTGACTCAGTCTGTGCATTAGAGCTATAGCCTTGGGGTCAGGTGGAGTTTGAGACTCCCAAATGCATGTGTCCCACCCAAGACCAATTTTGCAGTGGTGCCCAGGCATTCTTCACAAGGCACATGTGGTGTGAAGCAGTTTGTGGGTCCTCTCTGAGATCCTGTGGAGAGCTTTGAGAGTAGCCTGTGCTGACTTGAGATCTAGTCCTGAGTTTGCTAATAAGTGTCCACAGCATATTGGGCCAAGCCAATCATTTCATTGGGTTTTCCTCACCCCATCAGGAATAGTAGTTAGTGAATTTTGTGACCTTTGTGCTTACTGGTTTTTCTAGTGTTGTTTTTTCTTTTTTTTGGTACTGAGGATCGAACCTGGGACCTTGCGCTTTTGACACAGGCAGCAGCACCACTGAGCTAAATCCCTGGCCTCTAGTGTTATTTTTAATGAGCTGATATCCAAAGAGAACATCAGAATAGAAGGAGGGGTTGGGGTTTTAATTTAGCCAAATGATTTTTCAGCACATTTGCCTTTCTCTGTGGAGGAGAGCAGCAGGCAAGCCCCTGAGATGGGGAGACCTTTGGCACCTCAGCCCGTGTGTGTTCCTTTCCCTTCTATGCAGGATTGGCTGTCTGATGTATATGTTAAAGAGCCATTGAACGCAGGGATCCTTGCAAACACACACAAGGCCAGATGCCACTGAGAAAGGGACACTGGAATCGGTCAGCCTCCCTGGATTTGACTCCTGGCTCTGCTTCTTCCTTTCTCTGTGGAGACCTGGCCCTGTGCACCTGAATCTTGTTGAGTGGCACAGATTGGCCTTTAATGCACCACCACACCAGGCTATAGTAATTTTTTTTTTTTTAAAGAAGAACTATAGAATGTATTTGTTCTCCTCAATATGCCCCTTTTCTCACAAATAGCTTGATGGTCTTGCACTGATGAGGAAACCCTTCCTAGGAAGGTGAATGCCAAGGCTCCACCTGTGCCCCTTCTGAAAATCTGGGCTTAACTGTATGGCTTACCTCTCATGGCTAAATGCTTACTCACTGTTAAGGCTGAAAAAGGGAGTAAGGCCCACTGCTCCTCCCTTAGGACAGCTGGCTAAGATGACAAACTCCTGGGGCTTTATACTGTTGTGTTTTCATATTAACCTGGTCAGTGCAGCATAACTTTTGTTTGAAAAATATGTGTTGACTTATTTTTGACTTACTGACTTACTCAGAAAAGTCATGGACATGTACATGTACATATATTTCCACAGAGAAAAAAAGCCAGTATCCAGAAATCGTCTTCCTTGGAACAGGGTCTGCCATCCCTATGAAGATTCGGAATGTCAGCGCCACACTCATCAACATAAGGTAGCACTGCTTTCCCAGGAAACAGCCATTTCTCAGAGAGCACACTTATTTTTTAAACAGAGGTTCTCCACTCACCAGGCTAATTTGAAAACACAACATTATAAACCCCTGTGAACTCGTCATCTTAGAGTGTCCTGGAGGAGGAGTAATGGGCCTTATTCCCTTCTATAGCCTCAAGCTAATATTTCCTTCTGGGAATAAATAAAACTCATCCCATTATGACTTTTAAATAAAAAAAAAAAAAAGAGCTAATACCACTGTCTGCTTTGCCCTTGCTAAGAAATTCTCACTTTAATTTTCCCACTAGTTCATGGCATAGGAAAGAATTACCCATTTTATTGATTGGAAAACTGCTGCTTAGATTCCTGACTCTGTAGATGCATGGCATATTAAGTAGCAAGTCTGAAATTTGAACTGGTATCTTAACTGCTCCATTTTATTGTCCCTCTTGACTCCTATTGCCGGTGTGTTAAAAAGCTTTTGGGTTTTGTACATTGATTTTATGCTCATCTACTTTATCGGAGATTCCCTTTAGCATTTTTTTAGTTGATTGTCGGGTTTGCTTGGGGTCATCTGTCTGCAGAGAGATTAATCAGAGGCATTATAAAGTGTACATGATACCTCTGCAAATAGGAAGGAAGACTGTGAAATACCAGGTTAGTTTAAATTTCACTTTGTCATTTTACATGCTAGTGATGGATAAGTAACAACCAAATGCAGTAAATGTACACAGCAATAGGATGCACCCTGAGATCAGATATTTGCACCTGTAGGCAGTACAGTATTCTTCTTATAACTGAGAAATGCAGGGGTGATTGCCAGCTTGCTTTTCCCATACTGGCTTTCTAGAGAGGATGGTATTAACTTACTTTATGGTTAAATTAACTGGCTTTTACATAAGTTCTTAAAGTGAAGGTATGAGAGGTTATAGTAGATGGAAATTTCCACAGCTTCTGCCTGGTACCCAGTAAAGCAAACATTCTGTGAACTGTCAGAAGCCTTCCCTGTTGCAGTGAATCTCTCACTCTTCTTCCATAGCCCTGACAAGTCTCTGCTCCTGGACTGTGGTGAAGGCACATTTGGGCAGCTGTGCCGTCATTATGGAGATCAAGTGGACAGGGTTCTGGGCACCCTTGCTGCTGTGTTTGTATCCCATCTCCACGCAGACCACCACACAGTGAGTGTCGGGTCAGACCCAGACCACTAGCCAGCAGGGAGCTGCTGTCTCTTCCCTCTTGTTTCCAAACTTTTGGGGAGCCTTTGTGACTTATTTCTTATTAGGAAAAGGTCTTTTACAAAACCCCAGTGCTAAACAAAACTGGCTTATCTTTCTGTTTGCTTTTTTATGTGACAGTACAGATTTGCCTCACCTAACTCTTGAATCTTGCCTTTTCCATAGCCTCCCAGAAGAAACTGGTGAGACATGTGATAGGTGCCTGTGAGGCCTGCACTTTGTTCAATCCTAGGGGTTCCTGGGTCCCAGGCTATTGCTGTCTGTTTCTAACATGGACTATGTTGCTTTCTGCCTGTGATGTTTCAGACTCATGAGTCAGCACGGGCCACAACCAAACCGTGGCCATGCTCCAGGGCTAGTGGTTTATAGAGAACAAGGAACTTCTACGAGACACAGAACCATAGCACAGGGGAGAAGACATTGAATTTGCACCTGGCTGATACATATCTTGTTTCCTTCCCAGGGTTTGCTGAATATTCTGCTGCAGAGAGAGCGTGCTTTGGTAAGTGCAGAATTTCATTGACATTTAGAGTTTGGCTGGTTTACACATCATGAGTCTAACCTCCTGCCACTCCAAACTCTTTTTTTACTGACATGTTCCTCCGTGGACTCAGCACTCGGATCTCATTGTTTCAGGCATCTCTGGGAAAGCCGTTCCACCCTTTGCTGGTGGTAGCCCCCACCCAGCTCAGGCCATGGCTGGAGCAATACCACAACCATTGTCAGGAGGTTCTGCACCACGTCTGGTGAGTGTCCCGGGCTGCCTGACTCCAGGCTGCTGCCCTTCACTGGTGCCTCCTCCATAAGCTTAAGGCTGACACCAGGGCTGTTAACAGCACCCCCTGGCAGCCTTGCCCTTGGTGTCTGCCTGCTTTGAAGCATTTCTTCTCAGCCCTCACTTTGTTCTATACTCTCTAGACTCTTGCCAGCATTTCTCCATGAGATAACTTTCATGGCCAGACACTCAAGCAGTAGCTAGCTCAGAGAATGTCCACTCTAGGTAGCTAGGTGACAGCAGGCTGCTCCTACATGTCACATGGAGGGCGCCCATCTGCCTGGAGACAGCTGTGATCTGTATGGCCTGAGCCAAGGGGGCCTTTGCCTGTTAGATTTCTTTAGTGAACAGGAAGTGACTTGGCTTTTTATTTGATCGGTTTCCTGGTCTTAGTGACTACAATTTAAATTGTGTTTCTTCATAAGAATGATTTGAGGCTCTCACCAAAGATCTGAATTTTGACTCCAGGTGTTAAATGACTGTTTTTAAAAAGCTCATTATAATTTTTAAATGTTTTATCTTCTCACAGTATGATTCCTGCCAAATACCTTCAGAAAAAGGTGGAGGTCTCTGATCCTACTATTGAAAGTCTCATCAGTTCACTGTTGGAAATATGTGACTTGAAAGAGGTAAGGGGCACAGCCATAGGCCTGGTGAGGGCAGGGATAGCAGGAAAGAGCCCTCCAGCTCTGCTCCTTCAGTTTCAGACCTGCCTGGTCCGGCACTGTAAGCATGCTTTCGGCTGTGCACTGGTGCACACGTCTGGCTGGAAAGTGGTCTTCTCGGGGGACACCATGCCCTGTGAGGCTCTGGTCCAAATGGGTGAGTAGAAGTAGAAATGAACCACCACAGTCACATGGGCTCTGTGCAGCTGGCAGTACATGTATTGAGTATGCCAGGATGTGTGCAGACATCAGACTTGGTGTCCACCAACAGTCTCTGACTGTCATCCTGGTGTGCAGATATGTTGCAGGGCCAAGGTAGAAAGCATTTCTGAGTCGGGACACAGCTGTGGATCCTTGGCCCATGTGCTGCTCTGCCAGAGGACTCTCCCTCCATGTCCGTTTTTCTCCCTAGGGAAAGATGCCACCCTCCTGATCCATGAAGCCACTCTGGAGGATGGCTTGGAGGAGGAAGCAGTGGAGAAGACACACAGGTAGCAAAGGCTGGTTAGTCTACCCTGTTACCCAGTCCCTCCCATGCAGTGGGGCCCAAGCAGCATTGTATTTGCCCCAGGAGAAAGACTGCCCTCCATGACATGGCGCCAGCCGGCTTCCTGCTGAGGTCTGTGAGGGCTTTTGCACCCATGCTGGGTCTCATGGGCTGCTGCCTCTGTTTTCATGGAGTCCCCTAGGCAAGGTTCTGCAGAGAGGCATGGTGTTTTGAGACAATGAGAAATAGACTGTATATTATGTCAGAGAAATGTGGAGGCAAGTGCTCGTGTGGTTACCGTTGGGCTGTTGGAAGGAAAGAGTGCTGTGGCCCACATAAGCTCTGTTTTTTTCTCACGAGTGCTCCCTGATGTGGGGCTGACAGCCAGCAGTCTGAGCGTCCTTCAGGGAGTGTGAGAAGGGCCGGTCATAAAAAGGTAGCCATTCAGGACATCCATCAGCTTCCCCTGGGTGCCAAAGCAGTGGACAGGACAGATTGGAGTCTTGCCCTGTGGCTGAGTGTGGCTGTGCCATGTCATTTTCCCACAGCACCACCTCCCAAGCTATTGGCGTGGGAATGCGCATGAATTCTGGCTTCATCATGCTGAACCACTTCAGCCAGCGGTACGCCAAGATCCCCCTCTTCAGCCCTGACTTCAATGACAGAGTTGGAATCGCCTTCGACCACATGAAGGTCTGTGTCACTTGGCTGAGGGTTGGGAACCTGGGAGGGAGAAGGGCCCCACTTCCTCTCATGTCCTTGTTTGCTCAGCCCTCTACCTTCCCCATCACTCTGCCAGGCAGCAGCTGCTCTGGCTCTGATGGTGCCTCCTACAGGGGCCTTCTAGATGTTGGTCTGAGGGTCATTGCCTGAACATTCCCAAAGCCACGCCACTGCAGCTAAGCAAAGGCCTGTGAGAGGTGCTTTCACCCCACAGGTGGTAGAGCCAGGTCTGCTACTTTAGCCTTCCTGAGCCCATTTGGTTTTGCTGCCCTTAATTGGGGGACAGGGAGTGGTATTTCCCCTTTGTTGAAGGGCTTCTTTCCTACCTCCTTCCCTCCCCTGTGGCTCTTTTCTTTTTCTCAAGCTGTGGTCAGCTGGCTGTCCGAGGGTTTGAGAGGAAGGAGAGTTAGTTCCTGTTGTCTAAGCACAAGTCTCGGCACTCTGAGCCCTTGTCTCAACCCTGCCCCTCTGAGGCACATCCCTGTGTTCTTTCTGGCCTTCCAGGTCTGCTTTGGAGACTTTCCAACGATGCCCAAGCTGATTGCCCCCTTGAAGGCCCTGTTTGCTGAGGACATTGAGGAGATGGTGGAGCGGAAGGAGAAGCGAGAGCTTCGGCTGGTGCGTGCGGCCCTCCTCTCTCAGCAAGCAGCTGGCAGCCCAAAAGACAGGGAGCCTCTGCAGAAGCGGGCCCAAGTGGAGGAGCCGCACAGCCCACAGAGCAAGAAGGCCAGAGCCTAGTGAAGGTCTGGACCCACCCTGAACTCTGAAGGCTGTGTCTTCTGCACTCCACCCACATCTGTGCTCCTCATCCTCATGGGAGCCAGAGAACATGATCCAGCCAGGAGGCCACTCGTGATAGGAGTGTAGAGCCATGTTGTGTCCTGGATTCTGGTAAGCACCAGACTTCAGACACTTCCCATGACTGGTGCCTGGCACTGGGCAAGACAGAAGGCTGCTTAACAGAAAAAGGCAGATAGAACCATAATTCCAATGCAAGTCAGTTCTTAGTCACATGGAAACACAGGGGAGGCACCTTTTGCCTGCTCCAGCAAAGTGGTTTCCTCTGCACCTCAGAGATAAGCCAAGTTACAGGGAATGTTGGGTCTAAGTGTCCCAGACTCAAAGACTAGTATTTCCAAAGAATCAGCTGCAATAAAGATTGAGTTTGGAATTCTGAGTTCTTTTACTTTATCTTCACACTGCTTCACAGCAGAGTCTTCTTCCTGCCAGATGCCCAGGAAAGCTCCCATGGCAGTGAGGATCTTTGGAGCCTGTCCCCAGGGAGCCACCACCTCTTAATAACGGAGTCTTGACCAAAGCCCTGATCATAACAGTGGCTTCGCACATTTGGGGAGAGCTGGGCCAGTGCAGCGGATCAGGGAACACAAGTTTCCTAAAGACATTCGATTTGTTCTCTCTTACTCTTGAGAATGAGTCACTCTTTGCCTTTGGAAACACTGAAAAGGTCACATCGGGCTGAGTTTGTCCTCCTCGCAGCATTTGAAAACAGGTTAGTGCTTGAAATCCAAGAGAATTTTCAAAGCTGAATCTAGTGTTTACATGTTCTTCTTACCTAGAAGAACATGGGAAGAACTTTGGAAAACCAGGTGACAAGAGAAAAAGGCACAGAGCAAGGACTTGGCCTTCTTTCCCCGGTGGCCAGCCTTCCCCTAACACATCATGGAGGATCATTAACTGCGCCGCAGCTTTATTAAAATGAGAACATGGGCCTGGGATTTAGCTCAGTGGCTCTGCCACTTGCCTCGCAGGCACAAGGTCCCGAGTTCAATCCCTGGTACCAAATAAATAAAATGAGAACATGTAGCAAGCTTCGGGATAATAAATCTATTTTAATAACATTACTTTTGGCAACGATTTTTACATGTATTTAAAGATAACCTTCAACCCCTGGGCTCCATTACAAAGTGGGGATTGAACTGCCCTTGCCAGGAGGTGAGCAAAGCTGTAACATCAAAAGTCTACAAATCCCACTCTCAGAGAAGGGTGGCTTTACACTGTGTTGGGAAAAATAACTAAGCATTTAAGGTTTTCATTGTATACCTGTACATTCGTTTAGATTGAATGGCTCAAATTAAACAAATATAGAGATTTCATATATACAAATATTATATCATGTATAGGTATATTATATCTATTTTAAAAGGATAAAATTTTAAATTTTGACTTGGCATGCACGGCCCAGGTCTGTTTCTGACTCCCTTAAGCCCAGAGTGTGTACAGGCTCCCCAGGGCCTTCTGGCCCCTCCCCAGGACTGGATGGGACTTGATGAGAAGGGATGAGCCATGGATGCTGGTGAGCAAAGCAGGCCACGCCACAGGCCAGTCTCAGGGGCCAGTGTCTCCATGGGCTGGTTTCACTTTCCTCTGCCTGCTTTTGGTAACAGTTATTGCTATTCCGCTGTAACCTCCAGAAAGAACAGACAGTTACTCTTGGATGTCTGATGTGTTTGGGGGGATAGGGCACTGCTTTCGACACTAAAGACATGGTCAAGATCCTCTTAAATTCAAAAGGATAAAATGATAAGGAGTGAAAGGAGCTTTCAGTCACACATGGTGGAGGGGACAGAACTGTGAGTGAAGCCGTTTACTCTGGAGCCCTCTGATTAAGGGTACCCTAAAAGGTTTTTCATGGGCTGGCCCTCCCCAGCACGGCAGGCAAAAGTCAGTGCCTAAGACTTCTGTGGACTCTTCACCTGCTTCCTCTCTGGCCCATTAGACAGATCCTGCAGGCCCAGAGTCAGCTGTCCCAGTCAAGGCAGCATCCCTCAGGTGTGATCAGGCAGCTTAATCTTTTCCTGCCCCCCTACCCCACAAAGGACATTTCTGACAAGCCCTTGGGCAGAGAGGTGGGTGCTACTTGGCATGGAGGCTGAGAATGGATCAAAATAGGCACAAAGTCAAAAGGCAAAGGTCAAACAAAAGGCCAAAGTCACCACCCAAAAGGAACAAACAAAATCTGCACCACCTACAATTGCCACACGGACCAGAGATGGCGATTTTCTGCCAAACTCCAACCTTATGTTGGAAGTGACAGGAAAAAGCCAATGGAGAATACTTGGCAAGCTCAGGGACGCCGCTCCTGGCGGTGCGTCCCCTGGGCCTGTGTCTGTATGTACACGTGTGTCAGGCGGGGAGCCGCATCAGAGGGCAGTGCTCTCAGACTCCTCCTCCGAGTCCCTCTTGTCAGTCACCGAGTGTCGCCGTGCGTGCTCCAGGGGGCTCAGGCGCAGTGTCGATCCCAGCTCTATGTGGATGGAAGGGATATCAAAGTGGACAAGATCTGTAAGTTGGCAGAGAAAGGGAGGTGAAAAGGTGCTTCCAGCTCAGAGACCAATGGTAGGCAAATGGTTAGCGCTAGGAAGTGGTGGATTGGTCACTCTAGTGGAGTTACTTAGAGCTTGGTCACTCACTGTACCACCACTGAGTCTGCTCTTGGGTCTGCTCTACTTCTGCTGTGAAGGCTGGAAGGACCAAAGCCTCCAGGTTCTGCCACAGCAGTTCAGAGAGGATGCCAGCCCACAGGGACCCCAGAGGGGAAAGGATATTCCCTGCACTTGATTCTCAGTAAGTATGACACTCAGGCAGGTCTCAGTAACATCTTCTGGGGACCTATCTCAGACTACATTGAATCCCCCAGGGTCTGGGGCCAGGGCACAAGGCAGGAGGTAAGTGGAAGAGTCCTAAGTCAATGTCCTCACTGGGAAACAGTCGGCAGATGCAGCCAGAGGGAGGGTCTCCCTTGGACCTTGCTGCTAGCTGGAGTAACCTTGATTCCCTGTTTGCAGGAAAACCACCCTTTTCTGGCCACATCCTTATTAGGAGCACTCAAAAGACATTCTTCCTGGAAAAATGAGCAGGAGGAATGTACCAGAAGTAAAACAGCTCAGCATCTGGACATCTGTGAGTTGATAAAGATAAGACAGAAAGTCCTTAGAGCCAGCAGCTTAGGACAAACAAAGCCCCAGCAGAACACCTGCACTGGAATCAGCCCTGGAGCTGTAGTTGCTGCCCAGCAGGGGCCTGGAAGGCACAGTTTGTTCACTCCCTGGGGGCTGCAGGTGAGCTGGGTGTGATGGATCCTCTGGATTTTTTTACTCTTGGTCATATTATTTCCCACGCTTAGGTGTCTGGACTTTAGTTAGCCTTGCTTATCATTTAGGCCAGGAGCCACACTCCAGGTGACAGAGGATGTGAACCTCAAGGGAGTAGCTCTGGCCCACAGTGAGAAGATGAGTTTTTGGTTTTTTCGGTTTTTTAGAGCAAATGTTCAGACTGAGGAATATGGTACTGAGTGTACAGACATACACTTGGACAGTGTCCTGAAAGACATTATACAGACACGGAAGCTTCCTCCCAGACAGTCCCCAAAATGTCATTCCAGCCTGTTTTCAATTCGCTCCTTGAGGGAGGAGTCCGAGGCTCAGCTCAGGCAGTGCTATTTGCTCCCACTAACCCCCAGCAGGTGGCTCTTGAGCCTTGAAGAACATCTATGCACCATCCCTCCTCTCTGCACGTGTGTGAGGCTGTGCCAACCTGGGGCCACCTAGCTGGGCGTGTTCCCTATCAGGGTCCAGACCTGTCCCACAGTGAGAATGTGGCCTTGGACAAGCTTCTTACCCACCCTGTGCTTCAGCAGTCAAATAGGAGTAACAGGAGTGATGAGGAGTGCAGACATATTCCCACAAAGGAGCCCACAGGGAATGGGTGGATTTGGGGGGAGACGCCCTTGTCAGCACTCTCAAGAAAAGGGGAGGAGTGATTTTACTTTCCATGGCAGTTCCGAGAGTACCTGTTAGGAGACCTGTCAAGGGCATCAGATGCCCTGTCACCAGTCTCAGTAGCATCATGTGCCAAATTGAGGGGGGGATCCCCAGTTAAATATGGCCCTTCCTTCTTACTGAGGCAAAAACACCTCATTCCTCTGGCTTCTTTCATGTTCTTGCCTCGGTTTTAGCTTTGAACATTTACTCTTTATGGGAGATCAAGTAGATACTGACAAAATATGTTACTGGATTGGAAAGAAAGGATCTTTCCAGGAAGAATGGCCGTTATGAGTGGAGGGGAGGATGCATTCTAAAACTATAGGTTCTTCAGGATTCCCAGGTCTCTCAGCCCAGAGGAAGCCAGGCATTGAAATCTGGGTCTGACAGTGGAGACTGCTGGTGGGACCTCAGGGCCACAGCCTCCAGTGGTGGACCCCATGTGGGCTGCACCAGGTGAGACCTCTCATGGGGACATCCCTGGGGCACTGGACACAAAAGCCTCCAGTGGATTTGTCCTGTGCAAAACAGATCTGTTACCTGTCAATTCTAATCTGGGGGAATGGTGGGGGCGGGGGGGCTGAAACCAGGTGACTGGTGAGAGAAGGTGGGAAAGAAGAGCTGGGACACTTGCTGGGTTCCTCCCCCAGCTCCTTCCAATGAAAAAAAGAAAAAAGAAAAGGGCCTGTGATATCAAAAGGCTACATAAGGCCTTGGACAGATCATCCTTACTGAGGCTGGGGAAGGCTGCTGAGAGTGAGGCAGCTGTGCGTTGGTTGGTCTGAGCCACATGCAGAGAGGAGGGCGCTAGGGGAACTGTGGGGCTGGCAGGTGGCAGCTGGGGCAGCTGGCCTGGCTGGCTACAGGGAGTGGAGGGAGGTGAGGCCGGGGCCAGCTTACCCTGAAAATCCCCCTCACACGTATCCACACTGCGTCACTCATGTCAAACAGCTGCAAGAACACAATGATAGGATTCGGAGAGAGGAATAAACATGGAACACAAACGTAACAAAAACACTGCACCAAGTGTCAGTCCCGCTAGGCCACACCAAAGCATTATTACAGATTCTATACTGGCTCAGAGACCTGCACATGTGGACAAACAATGGTATGCCACCAAGAGAACATTAAAACAAAATGGGATGCAGGGCCAGGGAGATCATTAATTCTGACAGCAAATCTCAAAGCCTGCGCAACAAATCATCCTGTCATAGAAGTAACAGGGGCACTGTCTCTCCTTGCTCTCTCTTGCCCACTTTTGCCCTCAAAATTCTCATTCTGTTCATTTCTGCCTCTCCAAGTGACATCCTCTGCTCATCCCATGGCTTACATGGGCCATGGGCCACACCTTGTGTTCCTGCCGTGGGTGGCAGGGAAAGTCAGCTGACTTGTAGTGCTGGAGTCTTGCTGAGAGCTGCCCGGAGCAGGTGTTGCCTCTCCCGGGGGCAGTGGCCCTGTGCCCTGTGCCACAGCCCACTCAGGAAACACGCATCATCCTGGGAACTGCCAGGAGGGAGTGGTGCTGTCACTTCTCAGGAAGGAGTGTTCTTAATTGTTCAGTAAGCCTCAGGGAAGATGACAGTAGCTACACATTCAACATTAATCACATCCAAAAATAGAGAAGCCAAATCACCAGATGGCTCTTCTCCATAATATTGAAATTTCCTGACCCATCACAAACACTTGTAAATTTGACTAGTATTTTTACTGGCAGCAAGGAGCTAAACTCCATGGGCCCTTGGCTTCCATCTCATCTAGGGAAGAAAATCTAACTTTTTTTGGAGGACATTGAGGGAAAACAGCAATATCTGTGAGGGTCCACCCAGTGCACCCCAGAACCCAGCACAGCATTGTTCTTTGATGTACAATGTGTTTGAAAACTATGTTTAAATTTTAAAAATTTATTAAAGTTAGAAACACACTGCCATCAATTGACCCCCAAAAGCTCCTCCGTGCTTCACTTATTCCAGCATTCTTGCCACACTCTGAAGTCTTCTGAAGTTCTCTCTCACAAGTGTCTCTAGTTGTGCTGTCGTGGCTGCCTTGATGTCCTGAATCAATTCAAAATGTTTATCTTTCACAGTCATTTTGATTTTGGAGAAGTGCCAGAAGTTGTAGTGCCAGATGTGTTGAATGAAATGGATGAGGACACACTATATATTTTTTACCAACCTGCCTCTCCATTGGATGGCACTCAGCAGCAGTATTCATTGCATTATTGATCACACCTCATAAAGACACTCATGAAAGAGGACTTTCAGAACTGCTTCAGCAAGTTGCAAGAATGATGGGATAAATGTGTTTGAAGCTAGGGAGAGTGTTTTGAGGGGAATTAATGGCATTGTCTGTCATTATAATAAATTTTTAGAAATTTAAACATTTACTATGTAGTATGAGATTGATGTATGTGGGTATGTGATTTGACTGGTTCTTGTTTGTTTTTGGTGCTGGTGATTGAACTGAGGTCCCTGTGCATGCTAAGCACACACTGTCATCTAGCTGTACATTCTGGGTACCTGGTTTATGTATGGTGTGTATATGTATGTATGTATGTGTGGATGTACCTGTATGATATATGTGTGTGTGGTGTGTATGCATGTGTAGTAAATGTGTAGTATATGTATATATATGTGCCATGTATATTTACAAGTGATATGTATGTGTCTATGTTTTTGCTGTGTTGTGTGATAGATGTGTATGTTTGGTATAGGTGGGAATGATACATATGTACATGTGGTTTATGCATGATGTTTGTGTGATGTGTATGTGTTGGTGTGTAGATGGTGTGTAGGTGTGGCATATTTGTGTTGTGTATATGTATGATATGTGTGGGTGGTGTATGTTTGTGTATATGTGGGGTGTGTGTGTGTGTGTTTATTCTACCCCAAGCTGCTTCACCTTCTGGTATTTGGCACAACATTCAACAGATGTGCTCAGGCTGTGCCCTGTGGTGAAATGGGCTGCTCTATTCCAACATGCAGTACAACATTCTGTCTGTCTCCCTGAATAAGGAAAATGTCCAACTGGCTTTACCACTCACTGACAATCTGCCCTGGACTTCTTAATCTTTTGTAGTCAAAGTCTCTGGAAAATACTTAAAAATGTCCCATTTCTTCCTAGTGAATGGACTTTTGCTAAATGTGGTCTGTGTGTGATTTCATGCTTACACATTTTCCTAGGAGAAGACAGCTCCATCTTTATTTTTAAATTTAAAACAAACCTTTATGTAGTGGTGGGTTTGCCCAATTAGTCGCTGGAGGAATCATGGTAGGGTGGAGAGGGAGAAAGTCACACATGCATTTTTTCTGAAAATGACCCTTCTCTAAATATATAACTAGAAATACATTTTTCCAGCAAGACTTACAGTGGCACCTTGGTTCACAAACTTCTTTCCACAGTTCTGGTCGCAAACCAAGTCAGATGAGAACCGAGACTCAAATTTAATGGTTAGGTTCAATGTTGACCTTATGGGAAAATTTGATTCTGTTCTTGTCCTTTTTGGTTTGTGACCAGCATTGCAGAGAGAATTGAGTTTGTGAACCACTGTATCTCAGTACAAGGCAGAAAAAACATCTTTGGTGCTTAGCTCCTCTTTCCATGTAAGCCTTTGTACCTGCTAGCTGCTTGGGCTCGGTCCTGGGGAACCCAAACCCAACATCTCACCTGTGCTTGACACCAGCTGTTCTGCGATCATAAGCAGCTTCCAGCTTCTCCTGAGGACCAAGGGTGCTCAATCCCCCAAATTAGGATCAGAAACAACCATTGGCTGGTGGGCTCAGACCCCAGGCATGAGAACCCTCCCCTCCCACACAACTTGATTCCAGGCCACTTTCCACTGGCAGCTTCCCAAGACAACATTGTGCAGAAAGCCCATGGCATCCTGGTGAATGGGAATTTGTGAACTGGAGGGATGCTATCAGTCGTTGCTAACGTTCAGAGGAAAGCTCAAGGGCCCGTGGCCTGGTTACCTGTAGACATGCTCTCCCCCGGGGACATGCCATCCAGCATGGGGTGCTCCGTAGACTGAGGGCTGGAGGCTGAGAGGCTGACCGTGGGAGGCTGAGGAGGTGGCAGGGTAGGCCTCTGTCGGGGCTTCGGGGTGGGTCGAGATTTGGCTAAAGTGCTTGTGAAAATGGAAGGAGAGGCCAGGGGAGGAGCCGCAGCAGGGGAGAGCTGGCCTGAGGCCAAGGAATACCCTGGAGGGTAACTGAGTCCGTAGGGTGATGGGGTGCTTGGTGGAGTTGGAGACAGGCTGACCGGGGATGGCTGGCCAGTGGACTGGTCAGTCACAGTCCCCGGCTGGCCAAAGGGGACCTTAGGTGGAATTGGTGCAAGCTTCTTTGCAACTGAAAGAGAAAACAACACAACCACAGCAAAACAGAGGCTGTTAAATGAGGGCTGTCAGTATGGCCTATTAGCACACCCTTCACAGCTAAGAGAGGTCGCCACCTCCCCCACCCCATCTCCCTGCCCCCAGCCTCCTGCCACATAGCAAACAGCCGATACAGTGTTTAAAAAATGAACCTGGAACTGCAAGTTTTCATATCTTCCCATCTGTTAGCTAATTTCTCCTCCTCTCTTCTGGATTCCTGCCACAATCTATACACACACACCCAGCCACAGTGGATAACAAATCTTAGATCCACAGGGGTGGGCACATTTCCCAGTAGAAAAAGGTGCCATTGCCATACTGTGAGACTGAGAGTAAGGCTGGGATGATTCAAGTTCGAGCTGTCACCCTGGACCCCTGACCCAGGGGCGGGTCCTGGCGGCAGGAAACTGATGTCTGGCTGCATCTGCCCAGTGATGTTTGGCTCCCAGCTGTGGTGTGTGAGCAGATCCTCTGGTCACAGAAACCTCATACCTCCAGTGCTTTATGTTCTCTGCCTCGATCCTGTGTACTTGCCTCATGGGCTTTTTTTTTTCTTTAATTTAAAAAATTGACATATTTGTACTGATTTATGGGATATAATATTGTAATTCAATACATGTATACAATGCATAATAATCAAATCACAGTAATTAACATTTCTATCTTCTCAAATATTATCATTTCTACGTGCTGGAAACTTTCCAACTCTGTTTCTCTAGTCATTGCAAAATGTATAATTAATTGCTACAGACTGTAGCTATGCAACTGTGTTACTGAATGCTAGAACTATTCCTCCCTCTATCTCCACCAGTTGTGTTTGGGGACTTGCTATCTACCAGCCTTCCATCCCTCTCCTTCGCCTATCCCCTCCCCAGCCTCTCATTATTTTCCCCCTTTTTTTCTTTCCAGAATTGTACTTTTTGGGCATAAGCACGGGCAGACTGACTGTGATTTTATTCCCCCACGCCCCTTTGAAGTGCTGGGGGTGGAACCCAGGGCCTCACACATGCCAGGCAGGTGCTCCACCATTGAGCTACATCCCCAGCCTGACTGCACTCATTTGCATTATCTTCATTTCCCTCTATGTACTTAATCCACCTAAAGGATGGTAAACACAAGCTACCTTGAATTGACAACGAATTGGTAAAAAACACAAATGCAAACATTCAGGAGATCCAACTCTTGGGCAGACATCTTGAGAAAATGATCACCAAAATGTCAGAAAAAAGTGACAGCTGGGTATGGATATCACTAATTCTGGAAGATACTGTCTTTAGTCCTGAGGGAGGCCTTAGGGCCTCTTCCACCATCTCTGCTCTCCACACACTCCCCACCCCTTCATGGCACTAGACCTATTCTGTGGATTTCTCATGTATTCCCTTGGCTCAGCCAGCCTGCATTGTGGACGTGAAAAGGACACGGTCCTCTGAGTACTACCAACTTGGGTTCAAATTGCTATTCTGCCACTTACCTGCTGCATGCCTGAAGCAATTTTTTAAACTTTCTTAAATTTTTTTTTAAAGACTCTCTTCATACAATGGGAAGAATAATATTTCTCTACTGCATTGTAATGATTGAATGGAATCATGTATAGAAAGTGGCATATAGTCATGATCTATAATAAAACCACTTCATTTCCCAATTTCATTTTCCACCTGTACTTTGAGTATGGGCTATGTTTTCCAGCAGCTGCTACTATAGCTCTTGACAGTGCTTGGTCAGCAACACAGGAGTCGGTCCCCTGGATGCAAAGCAAGTGCAGACCCTGGGTGTCAGTGCTTAGAACATGACTTCTACTAAATGAGCTGCAAGAGGGAGGATGAAGTGAGATCACCATGCCTGTGATGATACCACCTCTGGGTAGTGACAGGACCAGGATATAATCAACTGTAGGCACACAGTCAAAAAGCTCAGGTGTCAAAAGAATAAAAGCTAAATGTGCCATTCGTGGGCAATGATGAGGAATGGAAAAGGAAGTTATGCCTTTCACATGATAGCTCTGAGTTACTGAATGCCACTTGAGAAAAGTATTTGAGCCATTCTAGGCTACATTTCCTGTACAGATTCAAAAACTCAAACTGCTGCAAAAACTAAAAGGGTCAACATGTCACTAGTATTAGGAAGATGACTGACTGCAACAGGATCTATGCAACCTCTCCTGGACAAAAGAATGGCTCAGCCTTCACCCCTACCTTGTAAGGGGGAGGAGTTATAAACAGAGACATGCCAAAGAGCTACAGTGTCCACAAGGGAACCTGCTGGCACTGAAGAAAAGCCCTGGAATGTCCGAATCCTACCACCTTCGCTTTGGCCCACTCCCTGTTCAGCCTTTGAGATGCCTTTTTTCTGGACCGCAAGCCCTGACTTCTGAGCCTGGACAAAGTGCCCCGTGTGTTCCACAGGGTCCTGCCATCCCCTGGCACAGTGACACCATACTTGTATTACAGTTGCACCCCTCTGGAAAGCACAGGGCACTGTTCATGGCCAGGCTCATTAAACATCTGTAGGATGCACAAGGCACGAGTGTGGAATAAGCAAGATAAAAGGTCCCAGTGAGGACAGACTAGGAAAAGGAATCATCATGCATCTGGAGCTAGGAAGGCTGGAAAGGGCCCTGCACAGGAAGTATGTATCAGTGAGACAGACCGGCCCTATCTGACCAATCCTGGAATTAAAGCCAATCCTAGAAGTATGGAAGGCCTGAATTTAGAACAAATTAAATGATACATGATTTTAGACAAGGGAAAGGCTTTGCTGGGGGATGACAGAGGTGGAAATAAAAAGGTCCAGACTGGTACACTTCAGCACAGCTCCCCATTCATGAAATGCCACCATGCAGAGTATCTTTAGTTTTGGAGAGTGATTCTCTGAAGAGAGAGTAGTAACTGAGCCTGTTCCAGTGGCAGAATTCTGTTGGGCAGCAACAGGTGAGCGTAACAATGCTCAGCAATTTCAAAATGGAAGTGTGGAAGGCCTGTACTTATGGAAAAAAATCCCAATGCCCTCCTCTCTGTCACCTTATATGAAGGATCCTGGGAGGAGGTAGCTGAGGACAGCCAGCACTGGGGGTGGGGGGATCACATAGATGACCCCACACTGGTTTTTAAATAGTGAAGACAGGGCCTGTCAAGTGCATGGAGGACACATGCCATTCCGGACAATGACTTCTGCACTGGTGGAACCATGTGGCACGAGGAAAGCATTGCTCTGTATATGCCCTCATGAGCCCACTTTTCAGATGAGCAAACTGAAGAATGATGGTGAAATGACCCCCACTGAGGTTGTTTACCTTTTCAAAATTCCTATGCCTAGAATGGGAATTGCTCACTGAGCCACATGGTTTAACTTCTAAATGTCCATGCTAGTGAGGGCAATGAGTTTCCAGGAACATATCAGCCACTGCTTGCCTGAGACTGACCTGAAAGGAAGTGGTGACTCACCTTTCCGGAGGGTATGAGGACTCTGGTCTGAAGGTGGCTGGCTGGGGCTGGTGCCTGGCTGTGTCCCCGGTTGTGTCCCTGGACAGACTGTCCCCTGGCCAGAGCCTGGACTTCCTTTCTGCCCAGACCCTGGAGACAATTCCTTGCTTTTAGAAGTGCTGAAACACAAGCACACAGGACGAGAGAGAAGCCCTGAGTTCAGTCAACTTCAGCACCAGGCTTGCCAGCTGTGATCCTACATGTCTTCTGGGTTGTGCTCAACTCTATTCAGGCTCCGAGCTGTCTCGTTTCCTTATTAAAGCCGTCAAAGGTGCCCCACAAAATGTCCCTTCTTAGAGCTCTGGTGGCTGGCTCTACTCCCTGCTGGCTCTACTCCCAGCTCTGTGGCACCTGGCATTCACTGGCAGCACCATCTTCACATCTCAGTCCTCAAGGAGACCTGAATGATATGAGGCCAGGAATGCTGAGCTTCCTCACTGCATCCTGTCATCACAGAAACTGCAGGATGCTCTGAAACTGGAGCACCAAAGTCCTGGTTCCTTCCTTCTCCATGGGACACCAGGGCCAAGAGGATTTCTATAGATCAGTGTGGCTAGTGAGGGATGATGACTTAGCCTCAGGCTGCCAACCTCATGGCCGTAGGGTTCCAGGTGCCTACATGGATCCCCCATCACACCCCCAAATAGGGGGTTAGGGAGGCATTCTGGGACCCATCCTCAAACTCAGTAACAGGTCCCAGCAGGTAATAGGGTTGGCCCCGTGACCCTGCATGTGGCTCAGTTCATATCCCGGGGCTCAAGGCTTGGAGGGGGTGAGGGTCAGAAAGGGATCCTGGTCTCCACAGAAGCTTTGAAGTGACAAAGGAACATCCAAGGTAAGATCACCAGAGGATTCACCCTTACTGCAAGGCTCCTTCTCAGGTTCTCTGATAAGCATAAAGTTCATATTAGGAAACACTTTACTCAACTCCAGTACACAGGCAGGTGTGACAAACACACGGCAGGTCCACAACTCCCTGCCAGCAGCCAACATGCCATCCCTGGGAGATAGTGCTCACTGCCCATATATTCCATAGGCCTTCAGTCCCTTCAGCAAAATGCTTCAGGCAACCATTAGTGAATCAGGAGGTGCTCTGATGTTAGGAGCTCCCAGTCATCCTGGGTCGTCTTCCCTGGGTTCTGATGCCCCTAAAAGGTGTGAGGAGGGGAGTCTGAAAATGTAATCTTCCTCAGTGGCTGTTTCTTCCCTCACAAAAGCAGTCACAGCCTATTTCTTCCCTAAATTTATGTAGAAACTCCAAATGTGACTCTGGAGGAAGTACCAAAAGGAATATACCACCCATGCCCACTGGCGTACACTGAGGAAGACTGGAAGTAGAAAACTGGGCTAGAAGAGGAAACATCATCAAGCACAAGTAGTTTTTCCATGAAGGAGGGAGGGAGGGAGGGAGGAAGGAAGGGAAAGGAAAGGAAGAGAAGATGGAAGAAAGGAAGGAAAGAAGGCAGGCAGGCAGACCGGCCACATTCAAGGTGGTGGTACTTGCCCTGCAGGATGAGTCCTATACCTAAGAAATTTTCCAAGGGGAAAAAAAAATTTTATTCAAAAGGACCAGAAGAGCAAAAATTCCTTTTTCAATTCTGTAAATGAAAAGCAAAAGCAGAAAAACCTCTGTGTCTCTCAGGCTGGACAAGGACTCACCTTTTATCCTTCCTTAGTCTCAAAGTCACCAGGCACCAGGCATTTACGTCAAACATCTATTTCCCCTTCTACCCATCTCTACCACTATCAAGAATAAGTTAAAGCAATCAACCAAGGAAAACACCAAATAAGGAAAGCAAAAAATTGCTTTCTGAGGAATCACAGACTTGTCTTTCTTCCTCTAGCAGGACAAGGTATCTATCTAGGAATCAAGGGACTGGCTCTTCTTTCTGACCCCTGCCACCTGATACACTTTTCCCAGCCCAGAAACAAATATTTACCTACTGAGCCTGGCTCCTCTCTCTCCAGCATAGGTGCAGCAGACCCAATGGGAGAGGTGAGGCAGAGGGTGGTTACGGAGAGTGCTAGATGAAGGAGTGGTTATGGCACAGGACAGGTTAGTTCTGAGGCCACATGATGCAGTCAGTAAGTTGGGTGCCAAAAAACAAGAAGCTGTGCTTGGGGTCAGTGTTAATGCCAAGCAGTGGAGTAGGATGTGGAGGTAGAGTCTGGCTAGATGAAGCCACCAGACTGGAAGGGAGGGAGCTAAAGGCAAGGCCTGGGGCTGGGAGGGGTGAGGGAGGGGGCTGCTCTTCTCAGGGAAATCCAGCAACTGCAGGAAACATCATCTATGCTGCAAATGTGCAGGAAACAGAAAACAATAATGGAACACCCATTTGTGCTGAGAAAGATCCACATGGAGTGGGACAAAAGAAAGCACTAACACCTGAAGAAAAGCTACAGAACCAAATGCCCAGGGGAAGGAGGCCTCTGCAGCAAAATGTCTGGCCTTTTAAATAACCAGTGGGTGACAGTCCCTGCCCATAAGTGACTGCAAGCCCACCCATCCACGTTCTTCCTGGAATGCCTTCAGAGCCTGGGAAACTCCATCCTCAAGAGCCATTATTTTTTTTATATAAATATCATCTATGTGTCAAACAGCATATGGTTCAGAGTCTCTGATAAACTGGGAAGCAGTCAGAATGATGCTGGTGTGTGTCCTAAGGGGATCTCATCTCAGCCAGTGTCCTGTCTACATGTCCACCCTGGCCGGCCTGTCTGGCCTACCCCTGTCAGGTTGTGCTTCTGCTCCAGCTTCCTCTGGCCCCTTTTGCATCTCTCAAGTGGACCTGAAGGCCAGCAGGGGCACAGCAGGATGTCCTGGTGTCTGGTCTGAGTTGGAGCCCTTAGCAGCAACCCCAGCAACCAGGGTCAGGTCCATCTCCCAAACTCTGTAATTGTGAAAAGTATCTTCTATTCATTAAAGAGGAAGAAGAAGGAAGACGAGGAGAAGGGGTAGAGGGAGGAGGAGGAGGAGAAGAAGAAAGAAGAGGAGGAAGAGGAGGAGAACAAGAAGGAGAAGAAGAAGAAGAAAATAAATAGGTTTGTAATTCCCTATTTGGGATTTGGAGTGTGTGTGGGGGAGCTGAGTTAAAAAGTTCAGCTTCACAGTCTCCACGCCTTCCTCCTGTGGCCTCCTATCCCCTGACAGAACACAGAGCAGCACTTCATTTTAATTAGCTTTTCTACTTCTCTAAATTGCTGTTTGAGAACAGATAGGAACAAGCAGCAAAAGCATTTCATGGTGCAGTTTTCAATTCCAGAGTCCCCGGGCTCTGACCATGCCCACCAGGCACAGGTTCCTTCTCTTGAACTCCTGTGTGTCCCAGTCCAGTGCTGCGATTATCTGTCTGGGATGTTTGCTCACTGGAACATGAACTCCTTAGGGGCAGTGATCAGGTCTTACTGTCTGTAGACAGAGAAAGTGCTGCTACTGTTCGCTGAACTTGCCATGAAATAAACCTGCTACCTCTCTTTTTAACTTCCCCTAAAAGAATGGGTATCAGCATGTGATGTGCTGCAAAGGTCACCAGGCCCAGTGTGACCATGTCACCTCCACTGCTTCTCTGATCTGCATTCATTTTAGCAGCAAAAATGACTGCTACAAACCCAAAAGTAGAGGAGAGAAATGCTGGAATTCTCAATTTCAAAATAGGGAAATCAGAAAGGCATAGGAAGGTGGGCATGGGGAGCTGGAGAACTTCGGATTCTTCACATTGTTTTAACAATTTGCCTGGGGATGAGATCCTTGTAAGGCCAGGATTATACGTGGTAATCAAGGGGGCTGTGGGTGACTGATTTGGTGCCAGGAAGATGCAGAAGGTGGAACATGACTGCTCAGAAGTGGGGGCAAAGTGTGCGTCCCAAGCCAAGAAGGCTCCAATGGGTGTTGCGAGCCCAGACACCCCTTGCGGCAAACCAGCCCGCCCCGGGACAGTAGGCCCGGTGCTTACCTCGTGCGCTCTGCAGCGAGCTGCAGGCCCCCGCTGGCTGGAGAAAGCGCTGGCACCGCAGCTGCGGGGCTGTCGGGGACCTGCTCAGGCAGGGGTGATGGCAGAGGCGCAGCCAGCTCGGCAGGCGGGGCAGGAGGCTGCATGGAGGGTGGGGCACAGGATGCTTTCCGGCCAGCCGAGGAGCCTCTTCGAGCCACCCAAGATGTGTCCATGACCCTCACACCCATGCTGGCGAGGGACACAAAGACACCTTTTTACAAATGTGTGACAGGTGACTGGCTCCCTTCCCCCAAAGCAGAGACATTCAAGCAGGTCCGTGTTAGAAGAGCAGCGCAGGCTTAGCATCCTTCTGGGCCAGGGAAGCAATGTGCAGCGGGTGGGCAGGGAATGGCCAGCAACTCTCCCAGTGCCCAGCCTGCTGGGGCTGGCTAAGACACAGCCCCTGCAGCCCAGGCTTGGCAAGAGCAGTGCTCCCACTGTGGCAAGGCTGCAGCAGGATGAACGCAGCAGCTTGGGACTCCCCAAGCTGCGCTTCCACCCTCTGCCAAAGCCAGCTGGCCCTAGGACAAAGAGCTGCCAGGCTCCTTGGGTGCAAAATCCAATCTGTTCTCAGAGCAGAACGTGGCCTACCTAGGGAGCAGGGGACACTTGCTCCTCCCAAGTGCAAGATTGAGGGGGGCGGGGCAATGGCATCAAACTAGAACACTGAACCAACCGCAGGAGACATCTAAATACAAATCCTCCTCATTTTTTTGTAACGTTGGGTCCACTCCCAGCTCCACCACTGCTGGGGCACCCTGTCCAAGTCACAACCTCTGCAGGGCCTGCAGGGTCTGCAGGCCACACCTGCTTGTCTGCATAACAAGGAAGGGGCTGCTCATGACTACAGTCCCTCCAGGCTCTGAGCTTAGTTTAATGATAGGCACACAGCTTCAAATAAGTCGGCCAAGCAACCAAACATGGCACATTCACCCTCTCACAGAACTCACTAAGACATAGCTTGCTTAGTTTAGAAGATTGAACGTGGCCTTTTAGCTACTAGAGGATACTGTACCTTTGGATTTTCCTAAGGCTGCAGGGACAGAAACATACAGATATTAGTGTCAACAAATCTATGTCTTCCTTTGGACATAAAGGTTGTCTTTTTGTAGGATTGTCTTGCCATGGTCAGAGTCCTAGGGCAGGCTTTTTTTTTTTGGCCATGAAAGGATTACAATTTAGTTGGTAGGGTTTTCTTGTGCCATGAAATTATTATAATTTAGTTAGTTAAACTGACTTTTTTATTCATACAGGTAAAAATCATGCAGGTGAATGAAGGGAGCACTGAAGAGTTGACACTGCTGTGTGGTGCAGAGAGGGAGTCATAAGGGAGATAGGTAGAAGTAGCCCCCTGCTCACATGGACTTTGAAGGTAGCTCCCTTTCCTCTGTCTAGGAGGTAACTGATCCTGTGGTCCTGAGTCAAGGGCTTTATTGACTAAAGCAAGAGCCCACATTTCTAGGGTGAAAATACATTGCGGCTAGCATTTGTCTCTAGCAGTTATATGTACTGTGGGATGGAGATATGAGATCTATTACATGCTTTTTCTCTCTTCTCAACTAAATGGTCATCCACATTGGTCAGAAGCAAAAGCCTGTTATACCATGAAGTCCTGGCCACCAAAAATGATCACACTGAACTTGCAGAGGTATGGCAAGATTAAAAATATAATAAAAGTTCAGGTACGGAGATTGGTTGTAGTGGGTGGGATTTGGGTCATTTAAGGAAACATGCCTTGGGATAGACTGGCAGAGAGGGACGCAGTGGGAGAGGATGCCAACCCAAGCACATTTCTGGAATGGGGTCAGCTTCCTGAAGCTTTTCCTCCCTAGGACTGCCAGAGAACTTTTTATGTTTAGTGCCATGATTGGTATTTCTCACCTCCTCTGGATGGCTTCAGGAAGCATCTTGGAATGGAAGAGTAGGGGAAGGGATGTCTCCTTCCACAACCCATTAGCTTTCAAAATGTCTTGGGTGTGAACATCAATAAATAAGCACCTTCTATAGGACATGCAGAAAAGCTCTTACAGGCTACCCAAAACTATGGATCAGTGTATGCTGTAGGGGATTATCAAAGTATGCTCTCTGGGCTTCAGAACTTACCAGGATAAAAAGGACAAATCTACTTCACTAGGGGAACAGAACTTGATCAATCACTTAGGTGAAATGGTTGGCAGGGGTAGCAGGCATTGAGATGTTTCCTATGGGGATCATAAAAAGAGCCCTGAAGGATGTCGGTCCTACTCTGTCTTCTCTTTCTTGCCCTGTTCTCCTGCTTAGCAAACCTTTCCCTCATGAAAGTAGGGGAGGCTGGGCCTCAGGCCAAGGCTGGTGGGAATGGCTTTGATTTCCAATGGCCACATCCAGCCTCAGTGACCTCAGACTTGAGTCCATTTGGTGACCTGGTTTAGCAAGAAAAAGAGCCAGCTTGGGCATGGTGTAATACTGGCTGAGTCCTACTAAACACCACTGACAAAATCTCAAATGAGAACTATGAGCTGAATGCACACTTTTGTCTTTGCAAAGGGGCTGCTGTGCTGTGTGAAATCACCACCATGCCAGCTGAAATGGCTTTCTTCTGGGAGGCAGCATCAAATGCTCACAATGAATGCACACCTAATATTCACTGACATTTTCAGTTACATAATCCTGACAGAGTGAGTCAATCACAAAGGTTATTACAAAAGAGCAAGTCTGATCTTAAACCTCTCTCTCCAACTTCCAGTCTTGTTCTCACATGAAACTCCCACTGTAAGGCCATCTACTATATAATACCACCAAGGGGGCCTTCAGAGCAGAGCTGATGGCATTGAATCTAATCCATGAGCTAAATAATCTCTTTTCTTTACATATTACTTGGCCTCAGGTATTTTTTTTTATAGCAACAGAAAATGAACTAAAACAGAGAAAAACACAGAGTGTATCCAAGAAGAGGGCAGCCTAGCTAAGCAAATGGTGTTGCATGGGGATGACAAGATGGAGGTTCAGAGAATGAGAATACAACCCGAGGGAGGGAATATAAAGGCTGAGTTCTGGTTTATGACCACCTGTTTAGATGATGTTAGGGTTAAGGAACAACGAAATAAATGAGAAGATCAACACAAACTCCCCATGGGATGGTTTGGATAAATATATTCCAAAGGCCCATGTGTTGAAGGTTTACTCTCTAACTTGTGGCACTATTGGAAGGTGGTGAACCATTTAAGAGGTGGGGCCTAGTGGGAGGAAGTTAGGTCATTGGAGGTGTGCCCTTAAAGGATATATTGGGATCTTGGCCCTCCTTCTTTCTCTTTTTGCTTTCTAGTCACTATGGGGTGAGCATCTTCCTCCACCACATGTTCCCATCATGATGTGCTGCCTCACTAAGGCCCAAAGGCAATGAGGCCAAGGACAATGGAATGAAACCTCTAAAACTGTAAGGCAAAATAAACTTTTCCTCTTTACAAGTTGATTTCTTAGTTATTTTCTTATAGTAACAGACAGCTAACTAACACATCCCTAAGTCTTACTGCCAATCCCAGGTCATCCAGCCAACAAAGGAGGCAGGAATAAGAAGGGCTATCTTGACTAAAAATTTCGCTGAAAAACAAACTGTGAAAGGGTACAGGGAAACCTCCTGCAATCTTCAGCTGTCTTTGACCAGTGCCTTTTGGTTTTAGTATGTTATATGCTTGTAGAATTAGCTCAACTGCTTATGGCACTTCAAAAATAGATAAAATATTAAGTACTTCAGGTGGCAATGACAAGGCTTGGTCTGGGTGGCTTATTAGTGGATGTCTGATTAGTCACTTTCCTTGTCAATGAAACATAATACCCAACACCCACAACCTAAAAGAGGGGAGGTTTATTTTGGCTCACAGTTTTAGAATTTTTAGTGCATGCTGCTAGGCCAAAACACAGAAATGGCATGGTGGAAAGGCATGCCAGAGGAAAGCTGTTCACATCAAGGTGGCCAGGAAGCAGAGAGAAAAGGCAGGTCATGCCCCCGGTGGCCAACCTTCAACCAGGCCCCACCCTCTGACAGCAAAACAGCTACAGGGATCCATAATCCAATCAACTTCCAAAAGCTCCACCTCTGAACACATGAGACTTTTGGGGAACATGGCATCTAAACCTTAAACCAAAAGTATTAGGTTGTAAACCTGAGACCTGTACATATTACTTTAAAAGGATCTTTGTAGATGTGATTAAAATAAGGATCTTGAAATAAGATTACTCTGGATTACCAGCATGGGCCTGACAGGTATCACATGCACCTAAACCATAATAGTAGAAAAGTGGGCCCTGGTATGTTGCTACCTTAAAGACATGAGGATGTTGCTAAAAATTCTTGTTCACAACTAACTCACAGAGCTAGCAAATTGCACTGGTTGACATTCAGGGCTCAGCTACAGCTGAGAGGTGGGGGCCTTGATATCTCTCCAAGGGGTTACTTGGATTTCCCTGAAGTTGTGGTAGGTAGATTCCATGAGTGAGTGTCCCTAGAGACATGGGAAAAATCTAAAAGGCTTCATTGGACTTAACCTCAGAAATCTGAGAACATTTCTTCTGCCACATCCTACTAGTCAAATCACCAAAGCCAACTTAGATTTCAAGGGAGAGCAATGAGATCCCAATACTCAACTGGAGGATAACTAAAGCATCTGCTGCTGTCTTTACCATAATGGTCCTCTCAGGTAGCTACAGTTTGGTTTTATTAGTTTTCCGTGGCTGCTATAATTAAGTACCACAAAGTTGGTGAATGAAATAAATGTATTTTGTCATATTCTGGAGCCCAGAAGTGCAGAACCAGCAACATTAAGACCAATCAAGGTGTTGGCAGGGATATATTCCCTCTGGGGACTCTAGGGAAGAAGGCTTTGTGCCTCTTCCAGCTTCTATTTGCTAGTGACATTTTTTGGCTTGTGACAATCATCTGCAATCTCTCTCTGATCCAGCTCCACATATTCTCTATAGTGTAGTAAAATCTCTGTCATTCTCATATAAGGATGCATGTAATGTGTGTAGGGCTCACCCTAATAATCCAGAGTAATCTTCTTGTCATACCCGGGGTGAGAGGGGAGGCCTTTGGAGAGCACCATGTCTCCCCAGTTCCAGAAAGTCCAAGTACAGCTACACCATCTTTGGTTCCAGAGAGTCCGAGTTCATCTGCACTGCCTCTTGTTATCAGGCACGTGGCCACCCTCTCTCTGACCCCCAAATTCTTCAAGGCAGCAACTCCTCCCTAGATGAACCCCCTGACAACCACTTCCCCTGTAAAGCCTTTGTTCTCTTTTGGTCTCTTCAGACTCAGCCCACTGGCATCTGAGTGAAATAAACAGCCCTGTTGCTCACACAAAGCCTGCTCAAGTGGTCTCTCTGCTCTCTGCACCCTCAATACACTTCTTAGTTCAAGATTCTTGCTTTAATCACACTTGCAAATATCCTTTTAAGGTAATATGTAAAGGTTAAAGGTTTATGACCTAATATCTTTGGAGGGGGGCAGATCATTCTTCTTACCACAATGATCAAAAATGTATATATGAGCTCCTGAATCTGACCTCATAATTTGCTACAGAAACTGAGCTTCCTGTATCATGAACTAAAAAGACACAAACTTGTGAGGGGAGAAAATTCCCTTATATGACATCTACGACATAAAAGCTCAAGAAAAATATGACTGCAATTGATAAGGAATTTAGCTGTTTCTATCAAATGTTATCTAGTTTATCTATCCAAACTTTTCTTCCTTTTTTAAAAAAGTAACCACCTTATTGATACATAATTCATATTTTCTTTCTTAACCTCTCCAAAAAACATCAAAAATGTGAATTTTAATTTTTTAGTGTTTCAATGGGTAGTTTGAAGACTTTAAAATGTAGTTCCTGTAATGCCAGCACTCTGGGAGGCTGAAGAAGGATCTCAAGTTCAAGGCTAGCCAGGGCAACATAGCAACTTAGTGAGACCCTGTCTCAAAATTAAAGATAAAGCCCAAATACTAGGGGACGCTATGTCCCAGTGGCATCCTTTCCATTGTTCACCATGGACACAGGAAGTTCCCCCACTCTAGGCACAGAGGGGCTAAACATGGTGAATGGCAGGACAGTGCCAAGTCTGCCATCAGGGACCTGTGGATTATGTCCTTGGAGACAGAATGGAAGGAGAAAGACTGAACAGTGGGTCCAGAGTGAGCTCTGCCCTGTCATTTCTACAAAGACCAGAAATATCCAAGAACAGCGACCATGCCTGGGGCATGAGTGGGAGTCCCTAAACAAAGCCTGGAGACCATGTCAGATTTTGCTGGCTGGAAAAGGGAGTTCTTGAGACAGGGTCAATTAGAGGTCTGACTGTAAAGGAAAAGAAGGGACAGGTGGGGGCAGAGAACATTTGGCAAGAAACTACTGAAAAAAATCTCTGAAGTGAGAACACGAAAGTTTTCCCAGCACAGAGGGAAGCAGGAGTCCTAGGACACTGGTAGAAGGTGAAGGACAGCTTGGTGTCTGGAGAATTATTTCACATTCCACTCTTCTCAAATTAAAGGAGGTAGCTGGATCCTGGGACACAGACAAAAAACTACAGCTAACTGTGCCCCAGGCACAGCCTGCAGCAAGGAGGTGGGCTCGAACAAACTGTGCTGGACATTAGAGATATCAAATTAAAATAAGACTGAGATTTTATCTTACTCCAGAAAGAATGGCTATCATAAGAAATCAGACAATAACAAATGCTGGCAAGGCTGGGGCTAGTGGAAATGTAAACTAGTACCACCTCTATGGAAATCAGCATGGCAATTTCTCAAAAATCTATATATAGAAATTCCATTTGACCCTGATATTCCTCTTTCAGTTATCCTCCCAAAAGAGTTAAAGACATCACATTACAGAGATACATGCATATCCATGTGTAGAGCAGCACAATTCATAATAGATAAATCTTGGAAGCGGCCCATATGTCCATCAACAGATGATGCATAAAGAAAATGTGGTATCTCTACATAATGGAATATCACTTGGCTCTAAAGAAGGATAAATCAGAGACATTTGTAGAAAAACGGATGGACCTTGAAAACATAATGTTAAGTGAAATAAATTAGATATACAAGCTTCGATATCGCATGGTTTCTCTCATATGAGAAATCCAGGGTACAAATCAAGTAAATAAAATAAAAGATGATAAAAAGCAACAGGGAGATAGATCTTTTGCAAACTGAAAGGGAACAAAAAGATGTAGAATGGGGGAAAGGGAGGAGGGGAAGGGGATATCCAAAGATTTAAAATGTATGATGCACATTTAACATAAGACTCAACAGATGAAAACTGCTACCCTCCCACCAAAAATCCCCCTATAACTTGTTTCTCTTTCTCATAAAGCCTGTTTAGAACTGATCACTATAAGTTCATGGTACCTTAAAAGATATACAGTTATGCATTGATTAAAGATAGGATACACTCAGAAATGTGTTATTGGGTGATTTGTTGTATGAAGAACGCAAAGCGTACTTACACAAATTAAGATAGCTATAATATCACTATGTGATAGAATATTATTGGACCACCATTGTATATGCAATCCATTATTGATCAAATGTTATCTGATACATGATTATATATTAATGTTAAGACTTAGGAAGCTCTTTGAGAGTTACCCTAAACATTTATGATCTCCACTTATTTTAATGCTGATTATACATTTTAAAATAGATGTAATATATTTTATTTCTTATAAAACAATAATTTATGTAGTATACCTCCTAGACCCTTAGAGTAGATGGTAGCAATCTCAACTTTAAATCAGAATGGCATACAGAGTAAGCACCTCATTTACACAGTTCTTTTATGGGAACTTTGTCACAGATGAGGTATCTGTTTAAAGTATCACTGTCCAAGTTTCTGAATCTGCTTGCATACTCTGGGGATCCAGGGTACTCTGAATATTCCAGTGATCCTGCAGTGATAACTCCCTCATCAAAGCCACCTGGATTGCCTTTGAGGGCGCTGGGAATCTGACTAGGTCTTGCGGAAGGATGGAGGAGCACACATTGATGCAGAAACGCCCAACATGTTATACAGAATGTGATGCATTCTCTATAACCCAGCAGGCCAGCATTTACCTTCAGGGGCATCTCCTCTGCTTAGCAACATCACAAAGGAACTTTACTACTTACAAGATTTAAAAACAAATTCCAATGTACACTCTGTTCTCTGTGTCTCTTTAATTTTGCTCCTTTTTATAGACAGAAAATATTTTTCCTTCCTTACATGAATATGTGAGTTTTCATTTGTATCTCTCCACTGGATAGAGAACAAACAATAGCACCACACACACCAACATCCCACTTTTCATCTCACATACTGATCACTGAGGAGTACAGGGACAAGCAGGGACACTGCAATTCTAAAGACCACACCACTGTTAAAGGAGACAGGCTTAGGTCTCCTATGCTAACTCTAGTCTCCAGTGCCAACTGCCTCTCTGAAGGAAGACTGAAAAGCAAGACTCCCACACCTCTACAGTGCTGAGGTGTTGACCCTTAGTTCCTAAGCTTTTCAAACACATCTTTCTGGTCGCTCAAGGATTTATCAGGGGAGGAAAATTTTAGCTGCTTATGTGAATTTCTGATAACCCCTTTGAGTGCTTTATGTTTCCATTTGTCCTGAAGCAGCAGTTGCTAAAATTTATTTTATGCTACTAATTTTTAATTCCTAACCAAAGTTTACCTAACTTGCTTGACCAACCGAGATAATCCATTCCTACTGTGAGACCTACTAATGATGCATTTAGCTGGCTGAACTTATCTAAGCCCACAGACTGTGGTTGTTATAGCTGAGCTGGTACTTACTATGAGTCATCAGGGGTTGTTATGAAACCTGTTTATGCCCATTTTACTCGTTATGAAAATTGTGTTATGTAGTTAAATATTATGTAAACTGATTTAATATGAGTGTAGAGAATAGTTCCCACGCACACTCACATGCTAAGTTAGATGCATTTATGAGGCGCGTAACTGCATCAAAGTAGGTATAACAGTCAAAAAAAAAAGAGGAACAACATCTTTAAAAAAATCTTGGAAAAATTTTATACTTGGACTACATCAAGGTTTAGTATTTTTTTCCATTTTAAAGCCATTGAAAATGGGAATATTAAATAATTCATTAAAGATATTGCTTATGTGTGGATGCTTCTGAACAATGCAAATGAACATTCCCTAATCAAAATAAAGTCATTAACATTCAAGAATATATATATTTATATACTCTACCACAGAGCTACACCTTATAGCTCCACTTTTACACATTTTGAGTGAAAATAAAGTGCTTATGTATTTTTATTAATTCGCCTCATTGATTTTTACTTCTTTGGATGGGAACTAACCGTTTCTGATCACAACTGTGTCACTAAGAATGCAGTATTTACCTCAGACTCAAAAGAAGTAAGCCAAAGACACTCATCTCAGACAGGGCAGATGAAAACATCAAAATGAGGTCATGACTTCACTGCTACCAAGTCACCCAAACTGCAGACAGTAAGTGGAGCCTTCCTGCCAATCTTACCACCTCCCTGTAGCTTTCCCAATCCCCAACACTGAAAAAGGGATACTAGCTCATACCCATCCTTTTTGTAAAACTCCAGCATCATATTATCCGTGGCGACGCTGAGAGGCCGACGGGCCTGCTCGGGCTGGCGCCGGTCAGCAGGGTCCATGTCTGGGGAGGGCATCGAGCTGTAGTTGGCATTATGGTTCACGTGTACTGGACTCCCATAATTGCCTGTAATGTTGAACTCTATCTCTGCAGGGAAGAAAGAATCAACACACACCATCTCTTGGTATATCACACTTTCCTGGAATGGAGAGAGATTCTTCTTCACACTTCACCCCTGGAAAAATCCACCCTCCAGTTCTATACTAAGGTATTAGTAGGAATTCATCCCATTAGTATAATTCATCTTACTAATAGGACAAAGAAGAGAAGATATGTGGTAATCTAGATTGGCACTTAACACATTCATGATAGAGCTGTAATTTTTATGTCTCGCTACTGAGCAGCTTGAACCAGCAGTGATACACGTATGGCTGTCCCATTGGAAGGCTTGTACCACCTAATGGGACAGTCCTGTGTCACCCAGTAGGACAGTCATGCATGTACCACTGGTGGTTCAAGCTACTGGGAACGTGTTAATGTCCATTTGTGATTTTAAAGACCTAAAACTTAATGAAACAAGAACAGAAGGATACTTTCTGAAAAAGACAAAATCATCTCTTTTGAACTTCATGCTTCTAAGTGGTTTTTTTTTTGGTACCGGGCATCAAACTCAGGACCTTGAGCTTGCGAGGCAGGTGGCAGAACCACTGAGCTAAATCCCCAACCCAGAACTTCATGTTTCTAGACCTAATTCAGTCAGGAAAACAGCAATACTGCTGAAAGAAAACACTGTGGTCATTGTTAGTTAACATTATTTGAGCAGTTCTAGCCAATGGAATTAGTCATGAAAGTATAGTAGGAGTCAATATTAATGTTTGTGAATGATAACATTATCTTATTGTAAAAACAAAGAAAACCAATCAAAGAGGTTAGAAAGAGTAAGAGAGTTTGCTAAGGTGTCTGTTGGTTCACAGATAGATACATCCTTTCCCAGCAATGAGAATGGATTAGTTCCGTATAACTCTGCCTGTCTATCCACAACAGTAATGAATTAGCTCATCCATAGGACCCACAGAATTACTGCCTTCCACTCTGTGTCGTTTGTTGCTTTATCTTGATCTAAATTTATCTGACTTTGTGTCATAATAGAACTCTTAGGAGATCAGCAACTCACAGTTAAAATGGAGTGAAAGAAAGACAATTAAACTTCTTTGATGTCAGTCAGCACTGATTGGTCACAGAATTATTACCATTTTGTTCTCACAGGAGTGAGTGGTTGTAGTTGCACAGCTGAAAGCTGCCACTTAATGTTTATTACACGTAAGGTACAGTATCGATTTTCATGGAGAGGGCAAACACCAAATTTACTGTAACAACTGCTATCTCTTTAAAATTGTCACTACTGAGAGACACACTTCTGCAGTGATGTGGGCATGGCTCAGAACATCTCTGAAACCCCCTCAGAAGAAGCTGCCTTGAGAGCCCAGTTTTGAGCCAGGCTGAAAACAGCATCTCACTGCCTTGAGTCTCACCTATATGTACCGAAAGGCAGTGTAAAGGGCATAGGTTAGGGCACCAAAACAACAACAACCAAGATTAACAACCATGATTTGTGAGACCTGAATGAGTATCTGCATGTACCTCACATTCAGTATCCCTCTGCATCTATGAAGTGAAACTTTGGAGCAGAACTTTCTCTCCTTTCTGTATCAGCTTTCCATGGACTTGAAGAAACCATGATATGGACATTAGACCAGTACAATTCACAGACCTAAAAGAACTTCCCTCGGGCAGGGATGAGAGAGAAGGAAGCTTCCAGGACTCTAATACATGGTTGCATTTATGGGTATGTCTATTTGTGTGTGTAGGAAGATTAACAATGAACCCAATAGAAGCCTGGGGGAGTGGTACAAGGTTTCAAAAGCTCCGAACTCACAGCAGTCTTCCTGCTCCTGCCTCTGCCCCCTCTCCACCACCACCAGGTTGCTACCACGTACCCCCAGGGAAGAACCAGTCCGCATGCTGGATGATGGGCTCAATGATCCCGACAATCTGCAGCGAAACTGTGGTCATCATCTCGGTGATGTTCCTGCAAGGATGGAGCAGGGGGATGGGGTGTGGGGTTTACCAGCCAAGGAAGAGTGAGAAACCTCTGGCCACCCAGACTGTGAAGAGGCCATGGACTTGAACTCTGCAGGCCTAAACTTGTGAGCTGACTTTCTCTGGGATGGACATTTCACCTTTCTGAATGGGGGCAACTCCAAGGGAAATGAGCAATACCCATGAAGGCACTTCCAGTATGAGGTGTGGCTCTCATCACTACCAAGCTCATCTTCTTTCCAACTCTCGGTCTCTTTAGAAACAGCCCTCCATCCCCCCTAGTCCTGGTACTGGGAGGTATCCTCTTATGACAGAGTGAGGGGCCTGAAAGAGCCTGCCTTGACTGGTGCCATCACATCCCTTCCCTCCTTCCTCTCATCCTGACGCTGACTTAGATTAGCTCAGAGAAGGCTCTTACTTCAGACCTCTATGCCTCTTCCTGAGGCTAAGACTTGAATAATAACTAGGACTTGGAAAATAACTGAGGCAGGTAATGATCTGCAGCCTGGCTATCCAGCCCCACCCGTGCTACCTCTTCTCCCATTACTCACCCTTCTGCTTGTGGCCATAGAAGGTTGGGTCCTAAGACAATTGCCATGTTACTGGGAGTCATCTTGTTTACATCTTGATATTCTGACAACTTGGATAAAAACTTGATCAAGTACCTGGAAGAAAAAAGGATCAGATTTAACTAGGGCTTGACACTAGCCATGCTTCCCAGGACTGCACAGAAACATCTCTCATGTAGCACATCTTACTGATACCAGAACGCATATACCCCACAATTTAATGAAGATGTATCATGTGTCAGAAAGTGGGAACTCTGTATCCTCTTTCCAAAAGTAGACTCAGTTCTCTGGGGCAGAGGTCAACATTTGTTTCAGCAAACATTAGCCGGAAAAAGTCTCCATCTTTCCTCTTATCTTAGTATAGGATGACTAAGCTTCTTCCCTATTGTCAAACCCTGTCATCTGCTTTCTTCCTTGTGTGCAGAGGTGATAAAGTGTCTGGGTACTGTCAGCTGAGACATCCACACATGAGGGCTGATGCCCTCTGGAGTTACCCTTAGTTAGGCTTTCTGGAAAGACCCAATGAAGAAAATGTTAAACACAGATTTAGCACACGACCTAGCAATTTTACACCTAAGGCTATACCTGAGAGAAATAAGTCCACACATGAGCTGGTGCATAAATGTTCAGAGCAGTATTATTCATAATAGTCAAAAAGTGGAAACTGCTAAAATGTCATCAAGGGATAAATGGATAAATATGAAATGCTGTACAGCTATAGTTGCTAGGGGCTGAGTTAGGGGATGAAGAGTGAATATTAATGGGAACGAGGTTTCTTTCAAAAGTGATGAAAATGCTCTAAAATAGATAGGATTGACAGTTGCACAACTCTATGAATATACTAAAAGTCACTAACTGGCATACTTTAAAAAAGCAGAATGATATATGAATGGCATCTCAATAAATTTATTATTAAAAATAATCAGTGAAGAAGCTATATACAAATTAGGCGCAAAAGTTAGCCCCGGCATACCACATTAGAACCCCGCCAGGCCCTAACAGGCCCTTCAATATCCAGAGGGGCATATGTTTTCTCCAGGACTCTCAGTTACAAAAAGCTGTGGTCCTAACCCCATTTTGCTTGGATCATGATAAAGTAACTTTCTTGGAGGGTTTTTCTCCCCATCTTCTGTCAGCTCAGCAGAAAGAGGACCATCCCTGGGATCCTACCAAGCAGTCACTATGCTGTCACTGTGTCAACTCCACACACAACCTCTCCCAACCATGTTTTACCTGTGAAGAGGCCACACAGAACTGGACAAGGATATGGGACAGTCAATCCTTAGGCTGGCCAGTGACCAAAGGCCTGGGTCATAAACATGTGGTGAGCTGTACTGATTGGATTTTGTTCTTGGGATTTTTTTAATTGTAGAAAAATATACATAAGTTTAACCATTTTAACCCATTTTGCAGGTGTGCATTTCAGTGGCATTAAGTATATTCACAGTGTTGGAGAACCATCATTTACCATCCATGTTCATAACCTTTTCATCTTCCCAGATTGAAACAGTACCATTAAATAGTAACCTTAGTGCTGTCCACTTCCAAAAACTCTGGCAACCACCATTCTACTTTCTGTCTCTATGAGTCTGGCTATTCTAGATAATTCCTATGAGTAGAATCATAAGCATTTGCATTTTTGAGTCTGGTTTGTGTCACTTAGCATCATTTCCTCAAGATCTAGCCACACTGTAGCAAGAATCAGAATTTCATATTCCATGGCGCATATATATATATATATATATATATATATATATACACACACACACTAGAGTTTTAATCTATTTTGTTGTCTGAAGTAACTTGAGTTACTTCTACTTTTGACTAGTAATGCTGCTTTGAACATGGATGCACAAAAATCAAGTCCCTGCTTTCAATTCTTTGGAGGGTAGTGCCAGCTCATATGGTAATTCTGTTTAATTTTTTGAGAATCTGCCATATCACTGCTCTTGGGATTTTTAACAGGAAAACAGATATAATCAGGCAGATGGCAGCAGGAGCTGAAGCTGAAAATCTGCATCCTAAGTTTCAGGGAGGAGAGATGGAAGGGCCAGGAGGGGCACCAGCAAGACAAGGGGGTTAGAAAGCAGGCAGTGAAGGAACAGACGCCAGAAGTGGGAAAAAGATTCCCAGTGCAAGGGAAAGTAGGAAAAAAAGTGAAAGATGGGCATGTGGAAACAGCTGTGTCTCATAAGCGAAGGAGCACAGAACACATTCTCCCCTCTCCCGCCTTCTCGTCCACTGACACATCTGTCCTCTCCAGCTCCAGTACTACTCAGCTTCTCTGTGTATCCTGGAGCATCTATTTTTTTTATCATAAGTCCCCAATATTTTAAGATATTTGCAAGCTCAGCATGATGGTGCATGCCTGTAATAGCACTCTGGAAAGCTAGGGCAGGAGGATCACAAGTTTGAGCCCAGGCTGGGCAATGTGGGAACTCAGTGAGGCTCCTCAAAATAAAATTTTAAAAGTTAGAGATGTAGCTTAGTGTGCAAGTCCTGGGTTCAATCTCCAGTACCACACACACAAACACAAAAGATACTTGCATCGTACATTGCTCCTTGTAAATCAAAGAACTTATCTGAACTATCCTATGGTTGGTTACTTAGGTGGTCTCCAATGTGCTTTAGCTCCTTGGAGCCCATTTCCTTATCTAAAAAATGGTAATAACTATCTCTACCTTATCTCACATGTTGTTTGAAGCTGAGAAGAGACATTATCACCTAGACTACCACAAAATGCTGTACATGCTAGTTACTAGGACTTTTACCCAGGAAACTTTATCTTCTACTTAAAATGACCCTGATCCACATGTCTCCACTACCCACTTACCGGATGTTGTTATGATTGGCCTTTGGCAATTTCTCACAAGCATTCCAGAGAGCCTGAAGCCTCTTGTCTTGCTCCTGGATACTGGGAAATTGATAGGAAAAGCCATTGGTTGGGCATGAATCAGTGAAGTCTCACTGCCATTCACATTAACTAGCCAGTCATCTTCATACTGAACAGTAAGGAGCCAACCATTATGACCGACCACATTAGCAAACTATTGTTATTAAAAATGTTTGGGTACCATATTTCCCGGTCTATCCTCTTCTTCTGTCCCATCCTACGCTGTTTTAACAAAAGTTCCTCAGTGCACACCACATGTCTCAGGTGAATGTGCCAGGCTAGCATGTGAGGAGGAGGGCAGAGGCCAGAGACATGTCCTGGAGTGCAGGGCTATGGGGTTAACGGGATACAGGATGCCAGTTGGGGAGGTGATTCTACCTGCACAAAGTGAGGATGTGTGGTCCATCTCAATGGACACTACTGCATATGAAGTTCTTCCACATCTGGCAGATAATAGATGCTGAGTAAATAATTTTCGAATAAGTAAATTATACAGACATAAAGAAATGTGACCTTTGAAGACATAACTCAGAGAATGGACAGTGTCTACTATTTGAAGGATTTTTCACTGTATGAAGTGATTTACTATAAGGACTTCTTTATTTATAGAGCCTATTGCTTATAAGGGTTTCTTTATGAGGTCATTTATAAGTATATTAGGTTTCTCCCTCTCCCTCTCCCTCTCTCTCTCTATATAAATATTTATCTTATAGGGCTATATTTTTACCTAAATCTATATCAAGGCCTATATGATAGGAAAGCATTATACTCAAAGAACCTTTTCTCCTGAACAACAGAAAGATAAACACTAATACACACTAGGTCCTGGGGATGAGGGCCAGGGATGTGGCCATCACTTATACATGGGCTGGGTGCCCCGAGGTCCCCCATCAATCCAGACCAAAGGGAGAAATATTCTTTCTTCTTGTCTCAACCTTGAGAAAGAGACAGGCATTCTCCACAAGGAACTTTAACTAAGAAACCAGTGTGGAAACCTAACACATTGTATCTGTGACTAAAGTGGGGCTTGTGTAGGGAGACCGCGAGTCCCAGCTCCATCCTGATTATGATCTTGTGCCAATTCTTCAGCCTCTGTGAAACTCACTTTCTTCGTCTCTACAGTGGAGTTCATAACAATGCTTCCCTCATAGAGCTGGTAAGGGCAGTGGAAAGAAGAGTCTGTACAAAGTGTCCAGCTTTGTTGCTAGTTCTTTAAAAGCTCGCGATCAAAATAAAAAGCTGGCATTTGCAGCAGATGTTGCTGCCACTGTTACCGCTTGTGTCATTTGTGGAGGCATCTTCATGACACCCAGCCCCACTTCCCTTTCTACTGTTCAACGTTTCTTAATAGATGCAAGGCACAGTGAACGACAGGCCACTGCTTTTACAGGCCTCAGGCCTGGACCCCAGAAGACCAGACCAGGCCAGAATGGGCTCACTTGTGATGCATATCGTAAAATCAAATTGAACTTAGAAAGGTTCAGCTTTTCAAAAGCAGGAGATTCACAGCAATCAGAAGAGGACTATTTCTCCTGAGATGGCATGACAAGGAAGTCCCCTCTGCTTTAGACCTGGAGGAGAGTCACTTTGAAATGACCACTTTACTCTTTGTTCCCTGTTTCTGCTCCTTTAGCCTTTTCTGCCTGTAAAAACAGCTTCACCTCCTGTCTCAGTCACTTTCCTGGTCACTGCCCACAAAATATCTGATACTCACAACTTAAAGGAGGGGAGGTCTATTTTGGTTCATGGTTTTTAGACGGTTCAGTCCCCAGTCAGCTGGCTCCACACAGAAAGCGCATGGTGGGAGGGTCCAGTGGGAGAAGCTGCTCACCGCATGGCAGCCAGAAAGCAAAGAGTGAAGGGAGGAGCCAGGGAGAAAGCCATGCCTGCCAAGTCACAGCCTCAGTGACTGGCCTCTTTAAACCAGCCCCCACTTTCTAACCGCAACCCACTGATGAGTATAGCACCTCAGGATCCAGTCACCTTCCAGATACTCAACCTCTGAACATGTGAGCCATTTGGGGGACATTCTTGGTCTAAACTATAACACCTGCTCTGCTCATGGGGACACCCATTCTATGGAGCTGCCTGGTGTCCAATTCTAGAATCCAACAATGAATGAAATCTTTAAACTGAATTTATAGTAATTTTGTCTTTGACAAAGTTCCGATGACATTCAACCTTTCATTTAATGAAAATCAATAAAGGTGCACTAAGCTCCCCACTGTGTGTCAGGCACCATCCTAGGGGTTTGGAAGTATAAATCACCAGAGGAGCTTATGACCTAACTAGCTACACAGACACAGCCTTGTACCTCCATAGTCTGCCGGATGCAGAGGAGTACAGACGGGATAACACAAGTCATGACTGTCTTCTGGTTTTCCCTGGGCTGTCAGCAAAGTCCTCTCTGGAGAGTTGACATTTAAGGTAAGGAACAAATCCCCAGGAGCTGACAGGGCAGAAGTCTCAGGGAAGAATCATACCAGGGCAAAGACTTCAATGTTTCCTTACTAGAAAGGGGTTCCTAGACTTGGAGGTTTCCCCCCTCACCCTTTGCATCTTCCTGCAGGCACTGTTCAGTCCCTGGGCGATTCTGGCCTTCTACTCAGAATATGAGCATGGAAGCACTTGGTTTATGTGGCCTGCAGAGATGTGTGCTTAGAGTTCCAGGCTATCTTGCAGTGTCCAGTCAATCCCTAGTTTAGCCTTTGCTGCTTCTCTGGCCCCACTGCTGACTCCTGCTTGTCCCATCCATGGCAGACATGTCTGTGTTCATCCAGCTGAGTTTCCTATAGCACAATGTCCTGTGAAAATGAGTGCTGCCCTCTGGTGATACATAGCTTCATCAAAGGGTCCTGATTATCCACAGAACCCAGACCAATTCAACCCAAATACCTGAAAAACAGAACCAGGCCTGCTGTTTTACAAAGTTTTCCAGGGGACTCCAATGTACACAGAAGTTTGGAAACAACTGTTCTAGGCAAAATTATTTCCTTCAGATGATGTGAGCTTAAAGGGCAGGTACTATCATTCCCAAGAGCCCTTGGCATTAGATGTTCATCATTCAATGGCAGAAAAAAGTCCTTGTTTATCCTTGGAACAAAGACACTGACTACTGTGAAGCATCTGGATCATCCTTGTTTCCTAATGGAGACCCACATTTGCAAGTGAAGGAACCAGAGTATCTCTCAGGTTATGGTACACCAAGCTATCCTCCTTCTAACTTTATAGCATCAAATTTTATATATTGAGTTTAAAAAGGGAGCAGTTTCCATCAAAGGCTATGGTCTCACTAGCACCATAGTTGTGTTCTAGAGAGGCATAAAGTGCTGTGGGTAAGCAAAAGGCCCCTGGCCCCAGGATCCTTGAATTCAAATTCTCATTCACCCATGTACCCATATACTGCAAATTACTCATCTGTAAAATGGGGGCATGCAGTCTGCTTCATATAGTTGTGAAAATTAAGTTGCAATGTCAAGTCTCTAATAAGCACTCAACAAATGGTACAATTATTAATAACATCACAGAACTCATTCGCTCATCACAATGAGATAAAAAGAATATGGTATATTCAGCCAGCCTTTAAAAAATGCACTTAAAAAGGTGTTACATAACCTGATTGGCATGGACTTTCTCTGACTGAGTAGTCAAGTTTGGCTTCACTTGCCAGTTCTGAGTCTCTTTTAGCCCCTAGTCCTTCAAGAAGTAGAGAAGATCAATGATAAATGTTCGAGATGATGGATATGCTACTTATCCTGATTTGATCATTACACAGTGAACACATGTATTGAAATACCACATTATACCCCATAAATTTACACAACTATGTGGCAATTAAAATTTTAAAAGATTCATGAAAAATTGTTAACTTCATCAGATACATTCTCCCCGGTTCTTTCTGAGAGGCTAAGCTGGCTGTCCTTGATGACTAAGTTCCATGATTAGAGGTCTCTAGAAATTCTGTTCGTGGCACTTTGCTAAGGTAGCTACTTGTTCCAGACATCCTCTCAGAAAAATCTTCTCCCTCCTTCCTCTCTTCTGCCTGGGTGACCTTTGCCTTTGTCTCCACCGCCACCACTCTGGTGCCAACAGTCCTGCTCCCTCTCCTGGGCCAGTGTTGTTTATTTCCTCACTCTACATGTCTACTGACTTGGTAAAAGCAGATTACTCCAAATAATAGCACTTACTTAAAATGGTTCTTACCTATGGCCAAAGAGAGCATGTAACACCTTCCTAATGCATGTAGAAGCTGAGGAAAGCAACCAGGAATTGCAAGACCATACTTCAGAGTGGCAGCATGTGACTGGGTGGTGGCTTTGCCTATAGCCTTTGCCCCATTGTCTGCTCTCTTTATTCTCCATCACCCTAATTTACCACTATGGTCCTGGGCTTTGCCCCGTCCCTTAGGCACATCTTCAGGAGTGGGGGACAGTGTGCACTGCCCACATGTTACATTTTTGTTATTAAGTAGTTGTTGCTAAAATATTCCTATTTCAGCAACACTCTCTGCCCTACTCTTCTTCTTATCACTGCCATCTCCTGCATGAGGCTTTTCAGAACCATCTTTAATGTGCACAGAGGCATTCCTAAAATTCTATTGTTTTGAGTGTGTTAGGAGTTTATTTTTCTTTTTACAAAAATAGAATATTGTATGCATCCTTATCAACTTGCTTTACTTTACTCAATAATAAATCTCCATATCTTTTCATATTGGCTCAAATAGCTTTAATTGTTTTTTTAACTGCTCCAGAATATGTCACAGGATACACACGCCATAGTTTATTAAGCCATGTCCTCTCCACTCAGTTCATCCAAAGGACCATTAGTGCCTTCTAGACTTCTGCTATCCCAAATAATGCTGCAATCAACATCTTTGTGTATGTCTCTTTGCAAACACATAAAAGCATTCCTTCATGACAGGCATCAAGAAATGGAGTTACTAGAACCCAGGTTATTTACTTCCATAATTTCAGGAAATATAGCCAGTCCTCTGTTTTGGTGGTTCCTCATCCATGGAGGTAATCAACTGTGAACTATGCATCATGTTGTTAGGCCTATGATGGTTATACGTGTACTAAACATGGACAGACTTTTTTCCTGTCATCAATTCCTAAATAATATAGTATAAAAACTATTTACATAACATTTACGTTGTATTAGTTAATACATTATAAGTAATCAAAAATATATGAAAGAATATGTATAGGTTGCTTATAAATACTATACATTTTACATAAAGGACCTGAGCATCCAGTGGTCCTGGAACCAATAGTTCACAGATACTGAGGGACAACCATTACATCCCAGTAAGTGCTAACCCACAAGATAACCCAACACAAGGTACTCACTTGGAAGCCTGGATCCACTCATCATAGAGTTCAAAGGTCATAAGAGGTTCTGGCAGCTCTCGGAGGTAAGATTTCAAAGCTCCTGGGCATAAGTACAGTAGCATCCATGAGGCATGGCACAACAGGTCCAAGTTTCACTAGCCTGCATCATCTACATTGGCTCCACCAGAGATGGGCCCCCTAAGCAACATGACAAGATCCAATGGTGGCTTCTCACATGAATGAGCTTGGGCTTTGGCAGTGGGACCTGGGCTAATAATTGCATTGATCCCTCCCACCCCCATTTCTCACAGGACCTCATCTCCTGAATATGTGGGAGACTTCCCTTCCAGGGGCCAGAGCAACCAGGCACAATGCTGGGCCCTGTGTGGACATACCTAAAGCATGTAGGGAAGCCACCGGCTCAGGTGTTGTTGACATGGAGCCACAACCTGTTTGTTTCCCCTTTCCTGGAGTCTCTGCCAAGAGCATCTTGCTCAGAGGCCATGGGTACCCACCTGCAATGGCATGGGGGTCGGCTGAGTATTCCTGTACATCCACCACACAGCAGTCCAGTGCAGCTTTCAGCTTCTTCAGCTTGGAGGCAGAGGGAGCTACACGGAAGAGGCCCTACCAACAGGACAGAGGGTCAGTGGAAGGCCTACAATTCAGTGATTCCACAGCTAAACAGAGAGGTGGGAGGTTTTCCAAAACCTTCAGTGTGCATTTCACTCAACACCATGCGTCAGTACTGTGACTCTCTGTCTTCTCCCTCCGACATAAGCAACTAGCAGCTTTCAGTACCTAGTGACAAGTGGTTCTTTGTACTGGTGCATTGTACTGGTTTACATGAGACTTTTTGTTCTCCTATGCTTGAGATAAACTTTGAAGAATAATTTGACTGAGACATGATCAGATGTTGAGGTCTAGCAAGATGGATAGGGCCTATGGGGTGTGTATGTATATATATTAGCATATACATACAGGTGTGTACACACACTAAGAGGCTCCAGATAAAGAACCACTTAGAGTCTTTGAAACAAATAAAGTCTCTGTTCTGAGAGGAAGGGCAGACTGGGGCTGGTGTGTGAGGGTGTCTCCTTGATCCATTCTTAGTGTTATTTTGGAACTGCCTCCACTTCATCCAAATGAGTCTCTGCACTTTGTAGGGCAAAGTAAGCTATGAACAGAAAGAGAAGAGGACAGGGGAGCGAGAAAGAAAAGACAAATGGAGGTCAGGGCTGGAAAGGAACCTCCAAGTTCCTGGGAACCTGGATACAAAGCCCTCTCACCTTGCTCCACCGTATCAACTCTGAGCATTCTGGGATGTAATCGGTTCACAGCCTGAGAAATGAGCTGGTGGACTACTTCATGGTCCTTTAACCTTCTAGGTCCATGGAGTCTTCAAGATCGTTTAGAGGACAATGCTCCTGGTCTGAAATACTAAGTTTTTGACCTGCTACAATGGCTCACTCTTTCCTCAGAAGAGAAAAGTTCAGATAAACGCATGTCCAAAGCTTTATGGCATATGTGTGAGGAGGTCATGCAAACATATTTGAACTAATGTATCTACGAGGCTGCTATGACAGACAGACAAGGAATGGTTTAGATCTTCAGAAAAACCACACCACTGCCAAGCAAGAAGAGCCGAGTATTTGGTGATAGACAATGCCACAGACAGGAGGCAGAGTTGCCAAATATTGTAGCCACCCCCTACTTCCACTTTCCATAATTCTAATCACCCATGGCCAAGTGCAGTCTGGAAATACTAAATGGAAAATTCTAGGAGTAAATAATTCATAAATTTTAAATAACTTATTATAATGCATCGCTACAACCATTCTGTTAGATATTATTGTTACCACATACCGTGCCTAATTTCTAAATCAAAATTTATTGCAGGTGCACATGTATAGAAAAAAGCATAGTACATGTAAGGTTTGGTGCTATCCACGGTTTCAGGCATCCTCTGGGAGTCCTGGAACATATCCCCTGTGGTAAGGAGGTAATACTATGTAAGCCTTTAGACTGTGCTTGTGTAACCCAGAGAACACTGTTTCATTAAGGGAAGAATGGTTGAAATAGTGAGTCTAGTTTTCAGGGTATTAGAGGAAAATGTGCATGGGAATGTTGAAGAATGACAGCAAACACAGGAACAGAACCACCCCATTGAAGGATCCCTCAGAGAGGGTGAGGGGAAGCTATAAGAGAGGACAATGGCACTGCAGGGAGGCTCCGAAGGTCAGGGAGAGGGTGCTGAGCAGAGCATGCTGTAGGGCCAGTGTTCTGGTCAGAAGGAATAGGAGCCCCAGGCGGCCACTGCTTCAAAGACAGTGAAATTAGTAACATCAGATACTGCTATAGTCAGGAGGTGGGGACTGGGGTATCAGATCTGGTAACCTGGGCTCCCTGGGGATGGTGGTTTTAGCTCCGGGGTGGGGACAGAAGTGATACCACAAGAGGAAGATTGGTAAATAAGTGCTGTCAAAAATCCACAAGCAGCAAATCCTGAGAGTTATTTTAAGAAAATCAGGCAGCATAAAAAACCAATGAACTTGCAAAGGAACATGAGGTTGCAGAAGGGTTGAAAGAAAATTTTTTCTAGGTGCAGGAAACCTGAACATATTTGTCACCAAAAGAAAAGAACTAATGAAAAGCAGGGAAAAAAGAAAATGGGAAGGAGGTAGAAAGGAAAGGAGAGAAAGAAAGAGGCAGAAAGGGAAAGAGGGAAATCAGAAGAAAAGATAGGGATGTAAGAGACCATTCTTCAAGAGCCAATTTACACTGACTAGATATTTGATGATGCTAATAAATTATTATAACAATGCTATAACATTATAGTATTTGAACATTATAATAGTATTGTAGCTACATTTTAAAACATCTTTATCTTTCAGAGATACCAGGTGTGAACTGAAAGATACGGTAGATGTTTACATTTTTTAAAACATACTGCAGTAAAAGACACACTGCCATTAATCCTCCTAATACTCCTGCCACTCTCTGAAGCACCTCTGGAAGCCCTTCTTTGTGTCTTTAGTTGCAGTATCATAGGTGCCTGGATGGCCTGAGTTGATTCAAAATGTTTCCCTTTTGTGTTCATTTTGACTTTAAGGAAGAGCCTGATGTTATGCAGTATAAGATCTCATGAATAAGACAGATGAGGACACACTGTAATGTTTTTACAGGCCTTCCTTTCCACTGGATGGTACTTAGCAGCAGCATTCACTGTTTTTGATCATACCTTATAAAGACACTCACTAAGGAAGGCTTCCCGAACTGCTTCAGAAAGTGGCAAGAGCCATGGGATAAGTGTGTTTGAAGTGAGGGGGAGTATTTTGAGGGGATTAATGGTAATGTGTCTTCTATGGTATTAAAATTTTTAAAACAATTTAAACATTCACCATATATTTTGATCATACCACATATATTCTAAAACATTATGAATGATACAATGTCTGAAAGTGTTTCAAAGTATCCAAGGCAGGGATTAGGGGCAGAAATGGAAAAAGAGATAAAATGAGATTGACCAAGACCTGGAGATGAGGCTCATTATTTTTACATGTGTAAGTTTTTCCATAATTAAAAAAAAAACGATGGGGAATGAAAAATTCAGCTCACCTCCTCCATGAAACTGACTTTTGGGGATTACAGACACATTCTTATTTTGTAATTATAATAAATGGAAAAATGTCTGACACATAAAATATGAACAACAAAACCAAAACCCATTTTTTTCCCATTCCCTTTTGAATATTCAGCATCTTGAACAGGTCTGGCACATAGGAAGCAACCCACATAGGTTTTTTTTTTCCTTAAATGCTTTTATTGGTACATTTTAGATATACAATACATTTACATTTATCATTGGGAACTTGTATCTTTACATGATGTATCTTGGTTCTACACAGGTTTGAATGTCCGCTGACTTTTCTTCTCTTCCACAGCCCCTAGCATGCTCCACCTGAACTAATACTTAAAGATTACAGCCTGTTTTGGATTAATTAGGCTTACTGGATAGACGCTAGACTCATTTCTCCCAATCAGTTTTTATGAGCTCCTATCTCATTCTTATACTTTGCTCAGTAATAAATGCATGACATGCTCTAAATAAGTAAGGATTGGCTGATCAGGTCAAAGGAAGATGGAGTAAAGATGTTAAAATTGCCTATGGAAGAAACTAAAGATGAAATTATCTCCTGGGAAATGATTTAAATAGAAAAAATAAAAAACAAAAACAAACAAACTGCCACCAATTTCTCATAGACTTTTTTTTTTACACAGGGCTCTTACAAAGCACTTCCTAATGTCTTTATTAATCAGATTTTGAAGCTCTCTATTAAAGAGCTGTGATCCAAAAGGTTGAGAGCTCTATTTTGAAAATTAGAAAACTTGTAAGCAAAAGGAAGAGAAAGAGAAGGGAGAAGTGAAGGAGGAGGTAGAATTAGTAGTAGTAGTAGTAGTAGCAGTAGTAGTGGTAGAAGCAATGGTAGTAGTGTTAATGGTAATAGCAGCAGATTGCCAAAATCATCAAATCATATTAAATATGAAGAAACAATGGCTAGAATATGGCCATATAATTCTCATGTCTGGGTGATATCAGTCTCCCATAATCCTCCACTATCCCTGTGGGAGAAAGCAGGATCAGTTAGTGTCTGCAAAAGAGGATCCATATCCTGTATCTCTACATGTTTGGATTTGAGGGAGCTGGAGTGGGGATGACACAAGACTGAAGCCCTCATAGGCTCTGACTCTGGGAGGAGACCTATTGGGGCTGTTTGGCTAGCTCTGTCCTACCTCCTCCTGCATCCCACATTCCAGCAGCATTGTCACACATGCCTCGATGGGGAAGGCGATCTCCCGGCCACTGATGGTGAGGTGCTCCTCTAGGGGCTTCCCGAAGGAGGGCTTCTCCACCCAGGCCTCTGAGGGGGAGGAGCAAGAAAGGGGTCAGTCTGTGACTTGGAAGGCACTCATGTTGAAATCTTTCTTTTCTCCTGTTGTCCAGACTCTCCTGGGGCTACCAAAGAAATAGAGGCACTAATAAATCTTCATTCTTGTGGTTTTAGGGATGATGGAAAAGAAAGCAGAGGTGGATGGGTGGCCAGCTACATCCAGCAAGGTGGAGTTAAAGTGACCCACCCTGAATTATCTATCTCCATAGAGAGGCAGTGTGTATGGACAGATGTGCTTGGCTTCACTGTAACTGGATCAACATTAGCTTGTGAAGTTCTGGTCACCCCATCTAAACATGACCTTCAAGAATGGAGTGGGAGGGTGAACAAATACAGCGAGTCAGACTCATCTAGAGGGCAAGCAGCTCCCCAGCCCCCACCCCACCCCTAAAGCATATACTTACCTTGTTGTGCTTTTATTTGAGGCAACACAGCCTGTAGCAGTGTCAGTGATTTCCTGTGGTATTCAGCTTGCACTTCTATTAGCTGAGAAAACACAAGGGCCAGCATTACCCTTTACCATGCACAAGAACACAGGCTTTTGTGGCACGAAAGTGCTTGCTGAAGGGGAAGGAGCTAGAGCCCCTCCATGCCCCTTCCTCCAGTCCACCTACAACGATGGGCATGCTTTATCCTGTGTCATACAGGAATCGCTGCATGCAGAAATTTGTGTAGCGGACAATTGTTAAGGAACAGGGGAGGCTCCCCAGAGCTGAGACCTGGCTTAGGAACTTGCTTTGGTCACCTGCCACAGCATCTGGTACTCCTTTCTCAAAGCAAAGGGCAGCAAAGAGAGGTACAACAATAGACAGATATAAATAGAAAAAACCCTCAGAAATTCATAACATTTATAAACTCATTTGGCTATAAGATGTACAGGTTAAGTTAACCTGTATACATCAAGTTAGTTTTAATATAGAACAGATAAAAAAAATAGGACTTGAGCCACTATCCTCTTCAAGTATGCTGGGAGGTAAAACTGCTGTGGCTGTGGTAATGGGATCCAGAGAACAAGTCCCTTCAAGGTGTCCTACGTCAGTGTCCCTTTACTTAAAATGCAGCTGAGATGTTGACAAGGGCCACTGAAAACCCATAAGCAGCAGTCACTTCCTTCATTTTCCAAATCTCCCTTTCCCGCCCTCAAATTGGGCATGTTATTAGGAGGGAGAGGAAAGAAGCGCCCTGTGTGAACTGTTGTTGGGGAGGGCGAAGTCCAGTGACACCAAAGAAAAATAATACGGAATTTTAAAAAGTAACCAGAATACTGAAATAAATGGTATCTGAAGGACAAGTAGGCAGTTTAATAAAGCATGGAATAAACTTTTCAAAAAAGCTTAAAATAAATTTTCCAAGTTGGAAGTAACATATATCTACTTTTTTTGCAGGGTGAAAGGACACGATTGAACCTCTGGACCATGACTGACAATGATGGAAAATTTGCTAATAGCCCACAGTCATTCTGTCATATTCCACAAAGCATTTTAAACTTGCCAAAATTTTTCCGTTTGTTCCTCTTTACCCTCCTGCCTTGTTATTCCATCTCTTTCTCAATCATTTTTTAAAAAGGCTTTTAGATTTTATTCTCAACTTAAAAAGTAGGTGAGCATTTTCACTTTTTGTTATTTCTCTATCAATGCTTTTTGTTTACTGCCTTGCATTTACTTAGGAAACAGCTATTCTCCTAATTATCTGAGCTACATTATTTAAGTTTTCATGACTCAGATTCTGTTTCTTCCTGTTTCTCAACTCTAATTCTGCTTTCACTGACAAGAGGCAGGCAAAGAGACCACATCACTCATAGTTAACCTACTTGCTACTCTCTTTGGCACAAATCTACATTAAAAACAACATGTACTAGAAGTCAGGTAGTTATTGTAATCTCAGGTCCTTACTGTTATACACCATGGTTTCTCAATATTGGTCCTACTGACATTTTGGGCCAGATAATTCTTTGTTGCAGGAAGCTGCCTTGGACACTCCAAGGGGCTTCACAGCATCTGTGGTCTCTATCTACTTAATGCTGTGCCACCTTGCTCCCCAGCTGTGACAACCAAAATGTTCCCACATACTGCCAGATGTCCACCAAGAAAGCAAAATTACTCTTAGATAAGAATCACTGCCATAGACAACTGAGAGGTAATAATTTTCAGGGATGAAGTTGGATTCTCAGATTTATTCTCGGATTTTGAAAAGAAATTTGGACAAGTAGTAGTAGCAGGCAGAATGATTCAGCAGTAGAAAAGTCAAATTCCTTCCTTATCTGTGATATGTTCAAACAACCAAGAGTTCTATGCCCATATTCTCTTCCTGTCTACACCATGATTTTGGCCAGGAGACTTTGTGCAATCTCACCTTTCTGGACCCTTACCGTTTGAAAGTAGTTTGCATAGTCGATTTCTTTGGCCACAAAACTGTACATGTCAGCGGAGAGCTGGTCCTATGCAAGAGGAATATACAATCATGGTAAAACATAAAATAATAGGGTGGTTAATACCTGAGTCCAGACATGATAGAAGGGCATTTAAACACTGTTTCATCTCATTTTAATAATTTTTCCTATTGGAGACTCCATGCATCCCAACCATGGCATTAGAGAATGAGTGAATTTGAAAAGTACACCTATGCCAGTGGTTACACCAAGGTTTTTAACACGCAGGCCATATCTACAGTTAAAGTCAAAGCTGCTGTCAGGAAGCAATGTGCAAATTACTTCCATACAGCACTGCAGCTAGTACTAGCATTCTGATGCAAGCACCGAGTACAGGTTGTGCTGCGGCTCCCTTCACACCACCATTTCTTCTCTCTGGTCATTCTACAGTCCTGCTCTCCTTCATTCTCAGTACTGATCATCAGCATGTAGGGAAGAGATGAAATGCAGCAATTTGAAGAAAGCTTGGATAAGACAGGTGCACAAGGAAAGGATTGCTGACTCACAACTTGTCAGACACTGGACTCACCCCACATTGGACACAAGCCTAGTGCCATCAACAGTCCTTCACCAGTCAGCTTTCCTCAGGCTTGAGTGGCAATAACCTTATACTACACTGGAAACTGGAATGTTTTATCCTCCAGAGAATACACCCCCCCAGAGACATATCCACAGCATCGCACTGTAAGTGAAGATTTGGAGCAAGATGTAGGCTCTGTCACTAATTATAATTAAGCATGTCACCTCTCTGAAATTATTTGTGCAAGTCAGGACCTCTAGGGTCCTTGGAGAAGGCATGCAGTTGAGAAGAGCCCATGCGTGCAGGCCGAGGCAATCCTGAGAGCAGCATAGGAGAGCTGACCATGATGCAGAGTGAAGGAGAGCTTCAGGAAGAGACTGCTTCATGAAAGCTCAAGCCATCTGCACCACCCTGGCAGCCCTCAGCCTCTCCCAGGAAGTCAATTCTCAGTGTGAACACTGGATGTGCAGAACAAATTGTTTCCTTTCCAGGATCTGTGACAGGCAAGCGACTGCTGAGAACATCATTCGAGGGTTCTTATATACAAGGCGACAGAGCCAAGTCAGACATAAAGGAGGAAATCTGTTCTCTAGGGAGCTTTAAGCACAGATGAGGTGATACTATGCTTAGTCCAGTTGCAGAGAACAAAGAAAGAGGAAAATGAATTAACATTCACTGCGACCTGACTAGCTGCCCAGCATGATGTTACACAGAAGTCTCAACTAACCTCCGTGGAGAAGTATATGTCCGGTTTTGGATCAGTTGGTGACAAGAGTTCAAGGATCTTACCTATGTGTTGACTACTGCCTCAAAATATTCAGCATAGTAGGGGCTTAAACTCTATCTGTTAAATGAACAGATAAGGAAACTAAGGGCTCAAAGCTGGCAAATCTTCCAAAGAATAAAATAGGCTTGAGGCCACTGGAGAACCCCTTAAACGAATGCCTCTGAAGGCTGCCAACCCTTGCAAAGGTTTGAGACAAAGAGTCTCGTCTGGATGCACCTTGTGTTTCATCCTGCAGCAGCGCTTTTCAGGAGGCATCCATCAGCAGCTGCCAGCTGTGAGGGAGATATTTCAGGACAGAAAAAAACAGAGTGGAGAGATAAAAATGGCTTGGCAGACAGAGGAAAGGAAGGGAGCCCCTGAAGGACTAAATGCTGCATCAAATCCACCACAGCATCTCAACAGTGGAGCTTCTCAGACAGATGACCTTGAAAAATGCAGTGTGCACCAGCAGGAAGGTGAAAGGATTGTTGAAGGTCTGATTAGATTGCTGTGTTATTAAACTCATAGTATGATTCCAAACAAGCCATACCGCAAGATAGAAATTAAAGTGGAAAGTGTAAGTCAAATTTCCATTTATCTAAATCATTTGAAAATTTTCTTTTGAAGGGGAAAAAAAAACCACTCATCTATTCAATAACCATTAAAATTTGATATATCTTTAAAAATCATGTTTTCTCATTTTGCAACAAATCTGTACTCAGACAAACATAAAATAACCAAATGCACTCGTCATATCACCGGGAAGAGATGAGCACTATGGCACTGAGCCACGTGCACACGGTATTTGTTTTATCCAGTCCAATGATTGCATGGTTTGTAAAAATGAAACCAGATTGCTTTGTAGGTTAATTACTCCCTGATAAACATATTTTATCATATGGATAAACTCTGTGTTTCTATTGTTGGATATTGTGTTTCTATTTTTTCACTACTATGATACCTGAATAAATACATTTACACATGTTCACATCCATCCCTTGATTATCCCCCTATGATAAGCTCTATGGTTAAAATTAATTCTGATTGTATAATATTTATAGTTAATAAAAACTTAAAAAACATAATAATAATTGGGACATCAGCGCTTTTGAAAAATACTACCAAAAAGCAATCAGAAGTATCACCATTTATACTATGAAGAATAATTTACAAATGTTTTCCTTGTTTTCCACAATAAAATTTTTATTCTGCTTAATCACACTTGATCTTAGTCAAAAGGCCGAGAAGCGATGCTTAATCACTATTAAATACTTCAAAATTAAAATGATTTTAATTTCTATCTTTACAAGAGGTTAACTTTCTTCTAGACTTACTATCTTTGTCAACTTCATTTATTATCCATTGTCAATAGGGAGTGTTATTTTTCTTTCCTAAGAGGGCTCATCTTCTTACAAATAAGATTTGTAAGAATTCTTTCAATTGAAGAGGCAATTGGTTTCATTAAATATACAAATATCTCCTCTCATTTTCCCATTTGCCTTCTGGAGCATTACTATATTAGGGGAGATACTGTAGCTTTTTATCTTGTATGCTATCTATTAAAATTTTTTTCTTTATGATTTCCTCCTTTGGTAATATGCTTATAAATTCCCAATCAGCACTATAAATATGCATATACATGTGCAATAAACAATATAACTTTTAAATATTTAATAAATTTGGAACTCATTTTGGTATTTATCTCAGGAAGATTTTTTTTTCCTCAAGAGCTAAATGAATGCCCCAGAACTGTTCATGAATAGAAAAGACTGTGCCTATGGATTGAACATGTCATATTTACCAGAAAAAATTTCTCATATACTTAGATTTTCTTTAGGCTGGAACATCTCCCCCCCGAATGGTCTATATTTTTGAAACAGTACCTAAATTTTAATTATGTGGCCCTATGTTATACTTTAAGGGATAGTGATTCAATGCTCCTAGAATCCTCCCATATTTAACTTTAGAAATCTTTTATCATTCTTTGAAAAACTTTACTCTACTCATAGCTAGTTACCACATTATTACTAGTTACTACATCAGTTAATCAAATTAATTTCAGATAATTCAAGTGTTTATAATATTGACCCTTTTCCATCCAGGAATATTTCTCAAAATTATACAATCTTTTTTGTTTCTTTTTTCAGCAAGAGTTTAAAATGCTTAAACTTCATGATTTTATACTAACAACCAAAAAACAAAGTAAAACACTTCCCTCCCCAAACAATGAATAAGCAAACAACAACAAAGATAAGCAAAAATCAAAACACAAGTCCCACACACATCAAAGAGGCTGATCAAGAACCAGAACTAGCCAGGTGTGGTGGTGCACATCTCTATTCCCAACACTCTGGGAGGCTGAGGCTGAAGAATCAAAAGTTCAAGCCCAGACCGAGAAATTTAGCAATCTGGTGAGACTGTGTCTAAAAATAAAAAAGAAAGAAAGGACTAGGAATGTAGCTCAGTGTGTGTGTGTGTGTGTGTGTGTGTGTGTGTGTGTGTATCTCCATGGGGTAGGGTAGAAGTAGAGCCCAATATGACAGGAATATTGGAATTATTCAGATTAAGAATTGAAATATTAAAAAAACCCTATAATGTACTAAAGGCTTTAAGCAGATAAAAAAAAGCAGACAATATAAAAGAAAGGACAGATAGATGACAGAAGAAAAGAGATACAAATACTAAGAAAGAATCAAACAGAAATGCTAGAGATTAAAACCAGTAGACTTGAAATGAAGAATGCCACTGATGAGCTCATTAACAGAAGAGTCAGCTGAGGAAAGAACCTCTAAATTCATGGTTGTGACAACAGAAATTTTCAATTTTGAAAAGCAAAGGCAAAAAAAAAAACAAAACTGGGAAAAAGGAACAGAATAATCAAGAACTCTGGAACCACTATGAAAGATGTAATATAAGCACAATGAAAATACAGGTTGAAAATCTCTAATCTGAAAATCCAAACTCTGAAATTCTCCAAAATGTGTACCTCTTTTGCATGCTCACATGACATCCTAAAGAGAAAATTCCACACCTAACTTCATGTTATGGGTCACAGTCAAGAGCCAGGTACTCTAAAAATATTGAATAAAGTGACCTTCAGATTATGTATATAAGGCATATGTGAAATGTAAATCAATTTTGTGTTTAGACTTGGCTCCTGGCCTCAATGTATCTCATTATGTACATGGCAAATATTTTTAAAAATCCAACATATAAGAGTATCAGCATTTGGGTGAGAGACACTCAACCTGTAATAGTAGAAAACGAGAGAAAAGGAATAGAAGCAAAATTTGAAGCAATAGTAACAGATTTTCCAAGAATAATCAGACACCAATCCACAGATCCAGGAAACTCAGAAAATATCAAGCAGGACAAATATCGAAAAAATTACACCTAGACATATCATGCTCAAGCTTCAGAAAATCAAAGACACACAAAAAATCTTTTAAAAAAAAAATGCCAGAGAGAAAAAACACCTTGCTTATAGAGAAATAAAGATAAGTATTACATCCAACTGTACCTCAGAAATCATTCAAGCAAAAGAGGGATATGAAATATTTAAAGTACTGACACAAACTCAGAATTCTATACAATGAGAAATTATCTTTCCAAAGTGAAGGAGAAATGAAGACTTCTGCAGTCAAAGAAACACTGAAGAAATTTGGTGCCAAAAGGTTTAACGTGAAAGAAATGTTAAACATGAATTCTTTAGAGAGAAGGCAA